ATTTAAAGAGTATCACATTTTTTTTTGAAAATGTAACTTTTCTTTTTGGATTTGTCTTAAAATGGCCCAATTACGAAAAACATTAAACAATTGAGAGGAAGGTGTTTTAAACAAAGACAAACTTTTCATTTCGGTAAATTACACTTACTCCATATTCTTCTAAAGAAAAGGAAGAATATTAGTACACTTTTCTTATCTTAACGTTTCAAGCAATTATTCGGAATATTTTTTACTTATTGAAAAGCTTTTTGGAAAAACAATTGAAATAGAATGTTTTTCTTTGTTTAAAACATTTCCCTGCCGATTTTTTCGTACAAGTTATTCACAAGTGGGCTATTTGTCTACCACAATCATTGATAACGTTAATTCGTTCAGGAATACAGTGTAAACTCTATATAACGATACTGAAGGGACTGAACATTTTTCGGCGTTATAAAGAGTGGTCGTTAAATGGAGAGAAATAAAAGATATATTACTATTCTATAATAATATGCATTTACTAATATAGTACACATTTTGCACACGAACATTATTATTCATACATTGCGTATAGCCTGTTATCTTCGTCTGAAGTTTTTTTGCTGCTCCAATATTTTAATTGTATTTTGTTACGTATCTTACTCATATCTTGAGATACTGCTGGATCAATTTGATTACATAAAATAGTTTCGTTGCATCAAGTGCATGTTTGATGCTTGGTGGAGAGACAGGATCGTCTTCTTCAACAACGTACACAGCTGCAGTTCTTATCTATTTCGGCAACTTAGAAAGTACTGCTTAATGATTTATAATGCCGCATTGTTGTCGTTAAATAGAGTGAGCGTGACGCTATATAGAGTGTAATATTGTATAGAAAACAATGTAAACCAACCAAAGTCAAGCAATTTCGACGTTTTAAGAAGTTGGTAGTTAAATCGAGTGACGTTATAAAGAGTTTACACTGTATACATATTGAAAATTAGGTTTTTTTATTATTTTTAAATTTGACATGATAAAAGTAAATAAATAATTTCCATGCTTTTATAAAATTGTATTGATTTTCACATAAGAGATTTCTTAAAAAAAGCACATTTTCGTTCGTTGGACCAATTTCACCGAGACTGGGATAGTAGCAGAGAAAATCAGAACTTTTCATTAATGTTAATGTAATACGAAGCGTCAAAGATAAGCAAGGAAACTACTTATAAAGAAGTAGAAAGCCGAAATTTCATTTGTCGAAAGGACCAATTCGATCAAGAGGCCAGTTCGTGCGTAAACAGGGTCGCTCGTGCAGCGAGCGTATGAATTTCGAGCATCAGACTTTGCCTTTTAATGTCAGGTAGACACTATATTTATGTGCGGCCAGCGACACAAATAAATAGCTCCCATAATAAACAAAGCTGCCAATAGGACACGAAACGAATGGCTTTTCTATCGTCATTATCTAAGGTGCTGCCGTACATTTATTGATTTTTTGAATCGTTCATATATACGTTTAAAGGTAAATGATTAAATATTTTTTAGAGAGGCATTCAAAGAGAATCTGCTTTTCAAACAACTTTTAGTTACCAATTGGGAATTCAATGTGATCTTAGGATTTCGATATTATAATTAGTCATAATATCAGTATCGATGAGGGTTACAGATAAATAACAAATCAAAATTTAGACAAACATCAACGTATACAACCTAGCTAATAATTAGACTTAAAGTCAAGCTGACCACACCTAAAATCACTCTTCAATCTCTATATTGAAGTTATTCTTTTTCCAAAACCAGTGAGATTTCCTCAAAACCAAAAACTGAGAAAACGCATTAAGACTGGCGCTAGCAAAAAATCAAAATTCATAAAATAGGCTATGCATATCAAATCTTATTAAGTACAGAAGTCTATTACTCTTACATTAAAATGATAAGCAAGCAAGGTCATTGGGTTACTTAGTTATTTGATGATGACGATGACTGTTTGCAATTAAATTCTTGATTAATTGAACTAATAGGTAAGTAGTAGACTGGGTAATTTGTGGTGATTGCTTGGAATAAAACTTTTTGTATTGTACTGACAATATAATGATAGGTAAGCAACTCTTTCGATACCATATTGATCGTTTTGCTTCATGTGGTGTATTTTGCAACTTTTTTAAAATTATGTCAATCACGCAAATCTCAGGATAACAAAAAGTTAATACCAAAAACGGATGGAATCCACTGTTTTCTATGTATGTGTTCAGACCAGGGTACATCTACCTGCCGTTTCCTTGAAACATTAAGTTGGAAATTCAAATATTCAATTTTGTTGGTTTTTACAAATATTATATGTAAGTGGTTTAGGTGTAATTTTAGGGTATCGAACTTTGCAGGTAACAATATCTTTAAGATACTTAAATAATATTAGAAACCAGTTGGTTAGCATTTTCACCCCTTCCTCTATCAGGGTGGAGATTATGTTATAAATAGGCTGACACACTCATAATAATGAGACATCAAAAAAGAACAGAGACATCAACAAAGAACAATTAAGACAACAACAAACAACAATTAGTAGTATCAGTGTATCAAGTTCAGGGTCTTCAATATATGTACATACATTTGTAGTAATAACTGTATATTTGTAAATAAATTTACTAAGTGCAGTTATTCGTGTTATTCATCAGTGAGGTAAATTATTTGCACTTACAATCCTTTCAAAAATTCGTGTGCTCCCTCATAGGAGAGAGAAGTGGCGCGGCAGCGCAAAATAAATAAAACAGTATGTTTATCCTTTAACTCATTCAGAAAGAGAAAGGAACTACTAATTGTTATAAATAGGAAGATTAGAGAGGAGCAGAAAATTGGTCTGAATTGCGTTAGTCGTGGGTCGAGGATCTAAACTAGTGGCTAATCCTAGAGGTGGAGGGGCGAAAGGAAATTTTCTCCCAAAAGCACTGTAATAAAATATACCACTTGAATCTGCACTCATGAGATAATTCCACTCAACACAACTTCATCTCTGGATTTTTGGAAAGTTAATTTCACCTTCTCTCCCCATAGTCCGATTTGACGCGCGCACAAGGAGTTTTTTACTTCCGTTTGTGCTTGATAATAATAATTACCAGTAATAGTCCAATTGATGCGCTATCGCTCATCGTACAACATCTCTTATTGGTCACGACATTCTTCATTCATCCATTCGTTTTGGGTCAAATATTTATTCTTATCTCTTGTCTTCTCGGGTACGAGATTGGGCCATATCCGGTAAAGTTCGTCAAAAACAGAAGGTTAGCAACATTGTGAAATTATAGAAACTTCTTCCGGGTTCCACAGTGATCGGTTAATTCTACGTCATGATTCGTTTATGCTATCAGTTTCTTCAAAAGGAATCTGATAGCTGAAGAAGCATGAGCAGCAAAACGTAAAGAAAAATCAACCAACAATGGTGGGATCCGGAAGAAGTTTCTACAACTGACAACAGTCGTGAAAATCTGTACTCAACATCGTGAAGATTTGATAAATTGAGGAGTCAAATTCAGTGAGGGTGGTATAAACTCCTCATCATCATAAGGTCGTCAGTCCTAAGACTGGTTGGACACGTACCTCCACTCTTTCCTTTCCTCAGCTAAACTTCGCATTTCCCTAAAACTAGAACAGCCCACATCCTTAACTATTTGCGAACAGTAATCTAATCTAGGTCTACCTCTACCTCTCCTAACACCTGTTTCTGCCTCTAATATGTCTCTGACTAGACCTTCATGCCTAAGAAGGTGTCCTACTAACCTATCTTCTCTATTTTTTATTGACTTCCATAGAGTCCTCTGTTCTCATTTTTTTCCAATACCTCTTCATTTCTAACCATTTCTACCCACGATATCCTCATCGTCCGCCTATAACACCACATTTGGAAGGCTTCTAACCTTTTCTTTTCCGCCGCACCCACTGTCCATGTTTCGCACCCGTACAATGACGTGCTCCAAATATACACCTTTAACAACCGTTTTCGAATTTCTAAATTAACTGTTCGTGAGCATAGAAGTGACTCTTCATCCGTCTAAATATTATTGTTATCAATTGCTAAATTAAATACAGACGGAACAATTAAACAAAGCATTATCTTTTAGTAAATGGTACAGAGTTACCTATTTATATATTACTTCCACCTTTAATTCTATATCTAAAACCAGTTAATTTAGAATTTTTATCGAAATAAATGTCACTGTTATGCTTCTTTCTTAACGTCTGCTATGAGTATAAATTAAAATGTTTTTCTTAATGACCGGGTTTTGTAAAGCGGACAACTTAATGGATTTCTAGTCAATTTTTTATTTTGACGTTTCGGCTCCTTGGTTTTGGGCCATCTTCAGAACTTTTGTATCTTCTAATTACATTGTTTCTTCTTTTTTTGACACAGTGTGTTTTTGTAAAAGCATAAAATTGTAATCGAAGTGAGTGTCAAACATTGAAAGAAAGTTAAATTTGACATTAATAAATAAAAGCCACACTGAGCCTGTGTCAAAAAAAGAAGAAACAATGTAATTAGAACATACAAAAGTTCTGAAGATGGCCTAAAACCGAGGAGCCGAAACGTCAAAATAAAAAATTTGACTAAAAATCCATTAAGTTGTCTGCTTTACAAAACCCGGTCATTAAGAAAAACATTTTAAATGTCACTGTTGTTGCAGAAATTGCAACCCAATGTACTGGTCAACAAAAAAAAATAAAACACAAAGTAATTTAATTTAATTTATTGGTCAATCCTCAAAATCCCTGTTCCAGATTTCAATTACTTATGTTGTTTTGATTAAGAGTACTGTTGAGTCACTAGTTGGTACGCGATGCGAGGCGATGCGAAGCGTTGAGAGGACGGCTAGCTGTATCAGCTATGCGAAAAATAAAGGTGGACGTTGCGTTGTGATAAATGTTATTGGCGAGGTGAACAATAAAAAGGGGGGGACCGAGGGTCTGCTTAAAACAGTAGTAGTGTTAGATCACTGGGCTCCGCTAAAGGTTTTTGGAGCGCGAAGGTGCAGTCTATTGTTACAGTAAGTTTTTCTTGGCGATGTGACACCAGTTGCTACTATTATTATTATTACTACTACTGATAAATGTAAAAGACTAATTACAAGCACAGTCATCATCATCATCATCTTTATAACACCCACTGTTATTGACCCGTTTGTTTTTTTTTTTGTTTCTACTTTGTTGGACTAGCGAAACTGAATGTAAGTAACTCTATCTAATATATTTGTTTGGCAAATAAATTTGAAACGTCTTTCTTTCTTAATATTTGAAATTTATGTCTCACAATTGTTTCGACTAACTATGTAGACACTAAATATTTAATTGTCTTTTTGAAATTTGACCGTAGCAATGTGAAAACATATTCGTTGCCAAATGAATTTCGAAAGTTTTACATAACATCAGAGCCCGTCCAATTAGGCAACAACTAATTAAAAATAAGGACAATTACTTGCATGGCACCGCCACATAGTTCAGAGAAAGGGCAAATTCTTTGAGAACCAATCGCTGTACATAAATATGTTCAAAATTTGATTTCAAATAATATTCGAATAATCTTTCATACAAACATTGCTTCCGGATGCAAAGTATTTTTCAGATAATGAGTACAATATTATTTTTTGTTTAATAATTAGTTTTCTATATCAATAAAATTTGTTGATGTTAAGTTGCTAGTAAGGTAAATTGAATTAATCAATTTGTAATAAGTATTTCATTATAAAGTAATAAATGAATTTGTATATTTGTAACTCATACAAGCCTATTCTATGAATGAAAAATGTTGATTATAGGAGCTAGCACTGAAATGGTAATTGTTAAAAATTTTCAAAATAAATAAATAGAGATATGCATGACTTATTATCATTAATTTGAGGTAGTTTGTAGTAGGCAAAAATTCAGAAATGAATTTTCAGAATAATATTTCATATTAAAATAGTTTTATTTAAAATTTAAACACAAAATGCAAAATGCCAACTACTATTTTGTATTTTAAATGCTCTTTTCTAATCATTAATTTTCATTTGTACTTGGTTGGTTTTTAAACCTATTTGGACTAGTTTCCAACTGTAGTTGGGTGAAGTTGACAAACTTCAATATTAATCCAATAATTTTTGTACGAGAACTTTACTGGAATGCAGAAGGTATTTTTATTGGGCTAGCATGGTAATTTGTCCATTATCAGTCGAAGACTAAGATTTTTCTCTTCTCTTCGATTTCCTACTCATTCTAATACATATTCGTTTCCGGTTTTTTTAATCTACGACATTTTCATTTTCTTATAACATCAAATGTAACGTTTTCTTTTCATGTTTCACACTCATGAAATAAAGAGTCGTGCTTCAAGCATACGCTTTTTATTTACAATCTTTTACGAATCTAAAATTTAATTTGCTATTTTTGCAACGACGACGCTTCAGTAATTCGACAATTTCACAAACTATTTTTCAATGGTCATTTTTATTACCGAAATTACAATTATGTAAACGAAAAAATCTCGATAAACAAACAAACATATTGACGTTTAAAATAAACGCATTCACGCCATTGGTGCCAAGAAAAACAATTGTTGCATAAAGTTTCAAAAAGTTCTAATCCACGTTAGTACGTAACACGTAATACAGTTCTTAATCTATTACCCAGAACTAATTTAGAATTGATGTACAACTCCATGGTGTCTAGCTTTACCTACATGACTGTTTTTCGAAATCCTTATGTCGATATTCAGAAACCACTATCATCATAGAAAAGACCGTTTTATTAACAGGTATCATTACTTTAATTTCACTTTGCATTTCAGTTTAATTAATTTAACTTAACTTAAAGTTTATTGTCAATATAAAATTGAACGTAGAGTACGTTAACGTTTACAATAATCAATTTCATTATAAATAGGTGAAAAGCCAAACCAATGACTCAAGCCTTTTGATTGACCATAAAGCCCATTTGACGATTCTAAGGAGCTTTAATCCTTACACCCGAAGATGCAATAGTTATTATTATTACGGATGGGTCCGATATCCGTGAGATTATTTGACCTTCATGAAAGCTAGCACTTGTATTTGTCAATATTTAATGATAGAGAATCGCGAATCTCGAATATATGAGACCATACAATACTACAATAATTTCACATTTACAGATATATCAAGTTATGTGACTTCCTTTGCTACTGTTCCATTTAAATGTAACCTCTAATAGTAAAAAGGTTCCCCATCTTTGGCGGGAAACTTCCCGTAGTCCCAGTTTGGGGCAAAAGTCGACCGATAAGTTTATCGTAGAATATTTTTTTTTAATTTCAAATTTTAAACTTCAAAGTTTAGCAAGAAAATAAGGCTGACGAGGGTTTCAAACCAGCGGAGCCTGCCCCAACCAGCCCAGTTTAAGGTTATAAAAACCTCAAGCTTCAAATTAAAAGAAGATCATTGTAATAATAAAAACATTTATTAAGTTTGCGTGCCTATCACGTATGAAAACTGCATCGTCCATTCAGTTAGGCAAGTTGATACCTTAGTAAAGCCTTGCCGTACTTCAGTAGCAGTAAATACTCACTAGATGGCAATAATCTGTTTGTACTAGGACTTTACTCCTTCTTTACGGTCATGTCTACTCCATCCATTACATTTTCTTATCAAGTGGGGATCAAACATCCCTTAAAATCATCCAACGGGTTTTAGAGTTTGAGTGACACTGGCTCTTGGACTATTATGATACCAGAAATTTTTTATTTGTACTACATAAACCTGCTTAACGTGCAATTTAATTTCTTCTACTTAATTTACCGTTTATTATATTTTTAGACTAGTTGTTAGATTACTTTGTTGAGAAAATATTTTGTTATTTAGTTAATCGTCAACAATGGCAGATGATAATGATGACTGGCTTTCTGCAGCAACAGAAGAGGAACCTCCAGCAGAGCAAGCTACTGATACAGCAGCGGCAGGTGCTCCAGCGGGCGAAGGAGCTCCAGCGGCCGAAGGAGAGGGAGGAGCACCTGCTGGAGAGGGTGAGGCTCAACCGAAACCGGAAGAAGATGAATATTTAGATCCCGATAAACTTTTACTTTTTAAACACTGGATAAGGTGAGGATTATCACCACCTACAGGCAGAAGCGCTTTAATATTAATTTACGTTTTTATTTAAAATATGTGTGAACAATTTCAATCGCTTTTTTGTTTTACTAATTGATACCTTTTTTTCGGAAATTGATTCGCTTTGAATTCAATATACGTTCTGTGTAAAGTCAAAATCACTATTGTAATAGATATATGTTCGACAGACTTATTAGAGGTAGGTGCCCAAAAGAACAACTTAATAGTGTTTTTAGGGTTTCGTTCCTTGAAATTAAACTTTAGAAACCTACTTTAGGTACCGTAGGTATGTTTGTCAGTCTCTCAGTTAGCCGTGAACAAAATAATTGAGAATTACACTTTTCGGGTAATGATTGTCCAAAAATGGTTAAGATAAGTGCAATATCGATTAATTCAAAATAAGGACTATTCTTTTGTCAAATTTAAAAGAAGTTTTCGGACTGAAACGGTAAAAACGTTTTTGCCTATTAATCGTATGCGGAAATCTTCTCTCATGATACTCCGACAGTTAAAAAGTTTAATGAAAAGATCGAATTGTGTTGTAGGTCTTCTTTCGATATCCAGGAATTTAATAATAAAATTATGGCTATTTTAGGTTGTCCTAATTTGAAATTTAAAAACTAATTTGGTCTATTAAGCAAAAGCAGCTCAAGTTGAAATTGCGCTAATTTCATTTTTTTGCTGCGGCACTTTTTTTGTGGCGCGGGCTAGTGATACACGGGGAATCCCCGCTTTCTATTTATGATGAACGTTTAGGCACTATGCTTTATTCAAATGAGCAGGAACTAACTTTTTACAAAATTTGTGATTTGTAAAGGTGAAATTACAAAGGGAAACTTTTTTATATTAAAGGAATGCCCCATTCGATGAATTTGCCAGGGGTTCAGATGGTGTATAGTTACGCCAGTTGACATACAGACCGAAACTATTATAAAGGTTGGACCACTTAGGGCAAATGCTGGGGCAGTAATATTCCACAGATAATTTTTCATTCTCTTCTGTCTTCATTTCGTCCGTCTCATCTTTCTCACCCGAACCACCACCCACCCATTCCCACGATTCCAGAAAGAAGGCCGTCGAAGGCCGAAGAAGTCCCTCCGCCCTACCTTCCGGTGTAGTCCGGAGGGACTGCCCGCCCACCAGCATTACTGGCTGGTGGGAATGAAATACCCAAAAGTTTTTTTTTTTACAGGACCCTAACACTAATGCAAATTTTTTGTTACAGGCCGAAATTTTTGTCGTATCGCTACATTCAAAAGTACAGGGAAAACTATTACGACGATGTGATAGATTATTTGGAAAAGAGACAGAAAGGTCTGAGTCGAGACGTTCCCAGACCTCAGACGTGGGCCGAAAGGGCTCTACGGACCTATACGAATAGAACGGCGAAGGACGAGTTCTACAGAAGGGCAAGAGACGATATAAAACTGGTCACAACGACCAGTATCAGCGGTGCCTTCCACAGATACCATAGCAAACAGTATATTAACAGAAGGTACTCCAGTTATTTGTCTTAGACATACCGATTGGTAGTTCGAAGATAGAATTTTTTACGTCTGATGTTTTATTTGACTTTTGTTTTTGTTTCTGCTGTTCATGTCATTAGGCCGTTGTTAAACAATTTGAATAAAATTTGTACTTGTTAAGATGTTTTCCTTTTGAGTATCTACAGAAAAAAAATAAACAATTTGAAAGTTTTAGCTTAAAACCCAAATAAGAAAAACAAAGAAACACCCATTTGAATATACAGGGTGGATTATAAAAAATTCCTCGAAAACCACAACTCATCCTTTAATTTTAAAGATATGACTATACTTCTTGTTACAAAGCTGCATAGTTGATTATTAACTATGTTTTTGGGACGTGTGCACAATGTTGTTTTCTGTTTTACCGGAAGTGACATCAATTTTTTTCAAAGGAACACACTGCATATTTTATTGTATTTCAATACCTCGTTAAAATGTCTTTCAAAAAACTCAACAGTATCATATGCCTAAAACCAATGGTTAGTGAGATATCCGTCAATAAATGTAAAATAGGTAGTATCCCCTTGTTTAATAGAAACAGTCAGTGACACATTAAACAATGTAGACAGTGGACAGCGATGCTACACCGTCTGGAGTTAATAATAATGGATAACAGTGTGTTAACAGATATGATTTAGTTGTCGGAAATCGCTCAATGTGAAGACATGGTGCTCTCCCACTATTTTCATTGCACTCAAAATATGCTTCAATCATGTCTGTTAGCAAGTGGATACTGGTACCCCTGGGCGAGGAGGGGTAGATACACTGTATTTAATTATGAAAAACTACCGGTCAAGCCACGGTCCGGTCACGATCAGGTCAAATTCGCGTTTGCTCGCAGGCAATAATCGGCCGATGGTCGACAATATTTGAAGTAACGCGAAGACGTAAAGGGTAATAGATTATTACTTTGGTGATGCATATTTGCCTGCTTAACAACAGGAGTTCCGAAATTCTCAAGATAAATATTGTGCGGGAGAATTGGATGATAATAAAAAGGCTCTGGATGACAACAGGAGTTAGATATCACACCTTCAGTGACGCAGATCTGCCTGCTTAACAATAAGAGTTTCGAAACTCTCGAGAAGAATGAAGACTGTTTGGGAGAATTCGATGACAAAATAAGTAGGCCTCTGAATGACAGCCGGAGTTAGGAACCATACCTTGAGTGACGCATATTTACTTACTTAACAATAGGAGTTCCGAAATTCTCGAGAAGAACTAAGCCTGTTTGGGATAATTCGATGATAAAAAATAAAATAGGTCTCTGGAAGACAGTCGAAGTTAGTTACCGTACCTTGAGAGTGACGCATATTTGCCTGCGTAACAATAGGAGTTCCGAAATTCTCGAGAAAAATGAAGACTGTTTGGGAGAATTCGATGACAATATAAATAGGCCTCTGGGTGGCAGCCGGAGTTCGTAACCATACCTTGAGTGACGCATATTTACCTACTTAACAATAGGAGTTTCGAAATTCTCGAGAAGAATGAAGACTGTTCGGGAGAATTCGATGACAATATAAATAGGCCTCTGGGCGGCAGCCGGAGTTCGTAACCATACCTTGAGTGACGCATAATTACCTACTTAACAATAGGAGTTCCGAAATTCTCGAGAAGAACTAAGCTTGTTTGGGAGAATTCGATGATAATATAAATAGGTCTCTGGATGACAGCCGGAGTTATTAATTACATATACTGACAACTAATCAGTGATATAAAAAAACAGTAGGATTTAGCGAATACAGAGTGATACAAATACCGTGACGAATAAATAAGTATTATAAATACTGTGTGATATAACTAAGAATTAGTTTAAGTGTCTAACTAGTGTTACCGTATTTTCCTTTTTTAAACTGTCTACTATACTGTTTTATAGTGACTCCTATAATTAAATAATAATTAAGTAAAAATGATACTGAAAAAGTTGTACAGGAACCCCAATGAAACGGAAAACAAGTAGGAATATGTACTTATATGTTATGTGAGACGTGGCTCGAATATCTTTTTACATTATCTTTGTTTTATAGCCACACCCAGAGCATGAAATTGTTTACTTACGATGAACCGGTTATAAATTAAATAGCAATTAAAATAGCACACACTAACGATGATTGTCAATTTAGTTTGCGCCTCATAATACAAGATTATCTGGACTTACCTTGTCGATCTTGATTGATGACATCATGTAGGTAGTTGCCGATAATGGAACTCCATAAATGTATTCCTAGCACTGTCATAATCAATAAAGTTTTACAGCAGTATATTGTACTTCTCATGATTCTAGAATCTTCAACGTCAACACACCATATTGGAGCACACTTTTCTTGCAATTTACGTTCTATCTTCTTAAGCTATAGCACATTAAATGACCGAATTTTAATTACTATCTTCGACTTGATTTATCTCTTGTGTTATTTATTGATCACTATTTCTATTAACGACTTTTTCGTGTCTTGATAGGGTAAGATATTCGTTTTTATGGTTCTTCTTCCGAACTAAAAAGATAATGGAAAACAGATTGATAGTAAAATCGTTGAATTAACTCAAAAGAAATCACTAAAGAATATACGAGGCCTGTTTAAAGTATTTCCATGGTTTAACAATACTTCTTTGTTTTTTTTGAGTTGTTTAAAATTATACCTTTTATGGAGCATTGTAATCAAATTGTAAAATTAATTTATTGCAGACTACTATTAATAACATTCCAAATTAATTACCGTGTGTTACCGCGCCTGTTTCATATCCCGTATCAAGCCAATTTAGTATCCATTTATGTGTTTCTAATAATAATTATGCATGGATAAAATTGAAAATCAATATAATCTACCGTTAGATGACTCGTGATACTTTTAAAAAAATGTTTACAGATAGATACGGTAATGGTGCGCACTTAGTACAGTTGTATGAACAATTTCCCTGAAAAATGTGTAGTTTCACATACTTGGTTTGTAAATGTGAACAGGGTCGGTGCTAAAATGCCCTTTGTACGCCCCAATAACTATTAAAAACGGACATCAAATTAAAAAAATTTTTACGCGGTTTTTACCATTAGAGGTAATTTAGAATATCATTTTGCGGCCCTTGAAATTTGGATTTTTGAGTTTTATCATCATCATAAAGTCGCAGTCCTAAGACTGGTTGGACACGCATCTCCACTCTTTCCTATCCTGAGTTAATCTTCGTATTTCCCTAAAACTAGAACATCCTACATCCTGAACTATTTGCGAACAGTAATCTAATGTAGGTCTACCTCTACTCTTCTTAACTGTTTAGCCTCTAAAATGTCTCTCTAGGTGTCCTACCAACCTAATTCGCCTATCTTTTATTGACTTCCACAGAGTCCAAGTTTTTCCTATACCTTCCAATACTTCTTCATTTCTAACCTTCTCTATCCACGGTATCCTCATCATTCGCCGGTAACACTACATTTCGGAACGCTTGTTACTTTTTCTTTTCCGCCGTTGCCACCGTCCATGTTTCGCACCCGTACAGCGCCGCGCCCCAGACATACACCTTTAACAATCTTTTTCGAATTTCTAAGTGACTTCTTTTTTTTAATGAAGGCGACGCGACCCTGAGCTATTTACTGCTTTATATTCTTACTAATCATTTGTCCTGACTTATCTGACTTCCTAGATATCTAAAATCGGTCATTTTTTTTAATTTTTCGTCTCCTATCTTTATATTCGCACTTTCCCTACTTTTTCTTGCATATCAGTATTTGCTTTACTTTTATTTATTTTCTTACAGTACCGTTTTGTCAATACCGCTTCCATTTTATTTAAAGCTATCTCTCACTCCTCCTTGCTAGATGCTAATACTGCTATATCATCTGCAAATCTAAGCATACTAATTCTTTTGCCCCTGTATATCTATCCCTACAGTTGTACTGTCTTTAATGGTGTTGATCGCGTCTTCGATGTATAGATTAAAAAGTAGCGGCGACAGTGTGCATCCTTGTATGACTCCTGACCCTGATGTAGACAGACCATTGTTCATCATTCCCATTATATTATTACTGGTGTATAACTGCAATTTGGAAGGTTAGCTTGTGGTTGACTAGGTTGTTGTGATTTCAAGAAGACTAGAAGCAATAACTTAACCTGATGCGAGTGAGTTAAGCAAGTCATGCAGTTTCTACTCCTATCTCTAGTCTTCTTGCCTGATTAATAGCAGCTAATTTCAACAGATGGCGTTTGTTAGGCTGTTTGTACTTAACTATTGAGCGCGGCGTATTGATGAGAATCGAACAGTTTTAAATCTTCATTCACGACTTACAGAATACCGGCCGGAGAAAATTTTTGTTTTAGTTTTACATCTGTTATAAATGCTGAACAATGGTCTTTTCACATTTACCAACTCAGCAGGTGAATGTTCAAATTTTCCTGTGAATGCTTATTATTGTATGCACCTTTAGCGTAATATTGTTTTGGTATAACACAGAAATTATAAACAGAATGCATTAATTTCTAATTTGATTTATAATTTTAATTGTCAGCACTACAAAATTAATTAACTTTTTAATCAGACCTCGTACATATGGCAATGAACAATGAAATTTTCGATAATAGAATTAATTGTCATAATTATAATAGCAATCGCAATTTCGGAAGATTGCAAATGGGCTTTCACAATTTATCTTCGATTACGATTTAGAATAGGATTTATATAGACATTAGGTACATGGCGAGTGAAAATATTATAAACTGAATAAATCAACAAGTTAAAATTACGCTGTAATTAATTAACACTTTTCATTAAATTTTATAATAGATAGTTATTTATATGGACACCATAAAGGGTATCTAGTGGAATATAAATGAACCTTTTGGGTTTGTGAAGTTGCTTCGTCTTCTATGTAATTAATTAACACTTTTCATTAAATTTTATAATAGATAGTTATTTATATGGACACCATAAAGGGTATCTAGTGGAATATAAATAGACCTTTTGGGTTTGTGAAGTTGCTTCGTCTTCTATGTAATTGTAAATACAGTTATCAATAGAAAAATTGAAGGAATATTAATTTCAAAATTGGGTTCTAACTTTCTTGCTTTTAGAATTATCGAAAATCTGCTCGAATACTAATTTATTATGTTTTCGAATGACGAAGTTTTGTTTTATAAAGTTGGTTCCGACAAATACGGACTAACAGACGTAATTCTTCAACATTTGATTTCAGCAATATTTGAAATACTGAAATCCTAAAATAATTGTCCATTACACGGAGANTCAAGTTTCTTAATTATTACAATTAAATTTGTAATATTAACTAAAATACCTAGTAAATTTATTTCTGCTGGGATTTTATTTTTACAAATTCGGGTCGAAATTATAATTTTTAGTATTTACGCTTACGAAGCAACAGGCAAGTGGGATAAATTCTAAATATCGCTTTAATATTTACGTAAATTTTCCTTTTTCATTTTCTCCGTGTAAAACTGCTTGTATTTCAAAGCTGCTCAAAACACACAGTTTTCTATCTCTATTATTAACAACAATAGCAATATAACTATACGTTTAATGGAACACTCGGTATATGGAATATTCAGTATTTTAAGGAACATATTAGATATAAATGGGAGGGGGCAAGTTAGCAAGATGTACAGGCCTGACGCTAGAAGCTGGCGGAAATTTCAAAATGGCGTGGATGCGCGGTAGCAAAAGTAGGCAGTTTTAGGTATAAAGATTGCAGCCCTCATTCTTCAGTATTCCTATCAGGGGCGTAGATTAAATATTTAAAAATAGGGATCAGTGAGCAAGTAATAGACAGACAAACAGAAGAACTAATTGTTGATGTTGGTGACAGTGATAGAGATTCCCATGATGAGAGTGAATGTGAAAACTAACTATAAAACAAAAGCAACAGGTTAATTTTTTCTTTTTGATAAGTCATGTTTTTACGTTATTTTCTAGTACGCTACTGTCCTATCTGTATTAATACCATAATTTACGCCAGCTTCCTTCGTCAGACCTGTACCAAATTTTAATCTGCTACCGTGGACACAACTTCGCATACCTCGCGTCTAACATTAAAGAATTATTTAAATACGTCGTTGGTGCGATGTTATTTCACAAACTTACACTGAAGTACCGGATTATATGCATATTTAGAAAGGTTGGTTAAAAAAAAAAAAACTTGACGACTTTTATGCATTAGCAACTTTATTTTTGATAACATGCAGACACGTATTGATATTCGAAACATAGGTCCGCAATGGACAAGGGAAGAACAAGACACAATTTCTGTGCATGCACCTTACTGTGCGGAGGCCATTGGACGGCCATTTTATTCTTTTACTTTTTTTTTCTTAAAATTTATTACTGCTTCAGTAAAACGAAAACGAGGCTTTTCACCAGTCGTACTAGAGTAGAACTGAATTATTCAATATATTATTTTACTTAGGCCTCGAAAATCGACCCTAACAGGTCCGGACCGCAACGTACAAAAACTGCAACGCACAAAATATAACACGCTATTTAATCATAACCTATAGTATTATACCCTGACATTACATGAGCAATGCTTCAGAAACAATCATACAAACAGTGTTCATATTCGGTTAAATTATGCAGTACGATCCTGTTCGTATTTTGTACGTCACTATACGTTGAAGTCAGACCTTGTACAATCTCAAACAATGCACTCAAGTTGTCGTACATTGTATCGTATCATAAATCGTTTGATTATTTTATTACTATAATTATTAGTAAGTACTTACAATCAATGGTAGTAATAATAATAATTAATTAATACGGATAATTTAATAATTCAACAGCTAATACTTTCTTTTTGTTTGATTCATTCATAAATGACGAAGAACACGTTCATGTAAAGAATTTACTGTGCTCATAACAATATTATTACACCATAAACAGTACTTTTTTACAAGGGTGACGGGGTTGTAAAGTAATTTAAAAATAAATATGCTTCTAATGAAAAATTTTTTTATGTTCATGCAAGTTTTAATTCCAACAAAATTAATAAAGAATCCTTTCTTTACGTATCATGTGATTTTTATTAAGCTTCATAAAAGTAAATATTAAAAAAAAATATCAAACAATTAAATATTTCGTTGTTGGCTATTACAAACGCAAAAAAAAATACAAAAGGCATAAAAAAAAACAAAAAAAGATCAGTATCAGTTGGGTGGTTTTATAATAAAAGTACATAAGTATTGGTTCAAGAATTAACTGGAATCACCTTACGACCCTGTCATGAAAAATTTGTTGCCAGTGAAGACACGCAAAAGATAAGAGAAGCTTGTAACCGACCAGAGGGTAGCAAAGGGGGTTTCGTAATTCCACGGCAAAACGGCGAGGTTTCGCCCATTGACAGAACACGCCACAATATGTATATATATGTATATATATATATACATGTGCCACGATGATGTATACAATACGCGAAACGTCAAAGACATTTCCGTAGATACGTGGGACATAACAGACGTACAGTATGCATTAAGTATCACATCAAAATTGAAATATATTCGTAGCGTACATTTGAAGGTAAATAATGCATTTGCAACTGGTACATACGCGTTGTGGGTCGAAATCAACGAAAATTGAAAAAATTCAACACACAATAACAAAAGTACATTAAAAAATTACCAGGTATCAATCATTACAGTTACTAATTGGACTTCATTTAACGATACCTACGTAAAAAGAAAAAACGAAAATTAATACCAGACGTGAATCGCTATTTCGAACTTATTTGTTCTCATCAGCACGCCATAGGAAGTCTTGATAAACCTAACCAAATGAAGGTGATATATAATATCTGGCAGTATATTGTCATTGGTGATATTTATCGCTATCAGTAGGATTTCAAATGTTCTAGATACGCCTTCTTATCAAATATTTGAAACACTACTGTTAGCAGCAAATATCATTAGATGGCGATATACTGCCTCTCAGGAATTCTAAAAAAAAAGGAGACATATCTTTATACATTTTTACAGGAATAGTTCACCAATGTATTAATCCAATAATATTTAGAATCGTTACAGTGGCTCTAGAGATAGTCCGCTGCAATCACTATTGCCTTGTATTAATGTTTTAAAAGTTTAACCTAAAGATGTATCTCCCCTCTTTTATACTACATGCTGTCTGTAGTTTGACATTAAAACATTAAATTTTGTAACGACAATTTTTACACACAAAAAAAAACAGCAAGACAATACTATACACACGACAATTATTTTCGTTGATGTCGACTATACTATTAGGGATAAAAAGTTGTAATAGTAGGCATTTTCAAAATTAAAATATTTCAGCTTAATTCAAACTTAACTACGTATTATAACGTTGTAGTAAGTATGTGGTAGTAGAGTAATTAATAGAGGAAGTTGAACATCATCTTTTTTTTGTAATATATACAATGGCTTTTAAGTACCGTTTGTTTGTATAAACTGGTTTTGCTTTCAAATATAACAATCCGCAGTCAGAGTAGAATGCCTGGAGAAAATGTACCATTTGCCATTTGAACGTCAAACGAAATAGAAATAAAAAAAAAAATTAAAAGAAGTTTAACCGCCAAAAATTACAACCTATGTGTAGTACGTGAAAATGGATTTCGAAGTGTAGAATAGTAATGTACATTCATAACTGGATAAAATACCTCAAAATTTGTTATTTAAGGCACATTTTGGTCAGTTTAATGATATGAAATTTAATGGTTCATTTTAACATTCCTTTCTATTTTTTTTCTTTAAATTAAGAAACAAAGACATTCCATCTTTAACTAACCGAAACTAATTTTACTGATTTTCTTGAGAAAATTTGATTCATGTGTCCATTTTTTTTGTTTTCTTATACATAATTACAATATAAAACGGAAAGAAGAATCCTTCCGATTGTGCCTTCCTGTTTGTCGACGATTTAATTGACTGGGAAGGATTTAAATTAAACAGTCTCTCCTACCAGCAAACAAATACCATTCTACACTTCCCAATTTTGTATGTTCCCGAATTTCGATGGCGAAGCAAGAAATAAATAATACACAACACGATCTAGAGCGAAATAAATATCAACTAAATCCACTATTCTTTTACGACACATAAATAAATAAAAAAACATGAATTAAGAGAAGTTACCACATTAACTACGGTTCACAGATGTACAGTCAGTCCCAAATCACAAGTAAAATTTGCCTAAAACACGTACGTCATCTCTTTTTCCAAAATCCAAACACGAACAGATTCCTTGCGACGTATTTGTGACTCACTGTACATTTGTAGTACATTAAAACATCTACCGCTACGTCACTCTGCTAAGTGACAGATGAGAATATGCAGATCTAAAATGGCGACCGACGTGGGGACACTTGGAGAATGAGTATAAGAGAGAAAGACTTATGGAGAATATGATAGATTAGAGAGAGAACGTGAATCAAAATGAATTATTTGAAGAAGAAACTAACGGTATACTTAACGTCAAACGGCGCGAATGTATGTATGTATATATGTCGAATAATAATAATAATAATAATAAATTAAATAACTGGGATGCTCATATTTTTTTTGTTTTGACCTTGCAATAATCATAATAGTAATAATAATAATAATAATAATTTTTTTTTGTTTGGGTAACCAACGGTGGTTACCGCGATCACACAAGGATAATTTAACTTACTCCTAGAGCGACACTGTCTTTGGCTACTGCGCCTGCGGATCGCACTGCAGCAGGCGTACGATCGAGGGGTCGCTTTTCGCCCCCTCGATGAACTCCTCTAAACTAAGTTTGCCGTCCTTGTTACGGTCCATCTGACGGAATATTTTGTCCGTTCTTTTCTCGGGCGTGCTCTCGTCTTCGGGCNAACAATAGAAAACGTTTACTTTTGCTTGTATTTGTAAAAGATATTATATCGTATCAATTCTTTCGTCAGATGCTTCAAGGCTCAGAAGATCCTTACTAAACATGTACGTATGTATACTTATATAGCCTAGACAGCCCTTCCCTTATTAAACCAACGGTGGTTACCGCGATCACACAAGGATAATTTAACTTACTCCTAGAGCGACACTGTCTTTGGCTACTGCGCCTGCGGATCGCACTGCAGCAGGCGTACGATCGAGGGGTCGCTTTTCGCCCCCTCGATGAACTCCTCTAAACTAAGTTTGCCGTCCTTGTTACGGTCCATCTGACGGAATATTTTGTCCGTTCTTTTCTCGGGCGTGCTCTCGTCTTCGGGCATCTTCATCACTGAACCGACCATCTTGTAGATTGCCTGTAACAAAAGAACGAATTCGATTCTAGTAAACAATTCACGTAAAGTTTTTGACAAGACACTGCTCGGGAATTGAATAAAGACATCGTCTAATTCGTTTCCGATATTCGTGTGCACTTTGATGGGAGCATTTCTGATGGAACAAAATCGCCAGAGATATATCTGTGCACCTGTACATAATGGTATTATTAGTTGTGTCTAAAATTTGAGGAAATTTTAGGGAAATTGTGACAACAGTTTTGTAGTCTTTCTGAATATAAATTGGGACTGTATACGATCATTTAATACCAAGATCAAACGAACAACACCAAGACTAAAACCAAGACCGAACCTAGAAAACCAAAACTAACACTAAATATACGAGGGTGGGTTGATAAGTTTCCGGCCTAACCAAGAGATGACGCCACTAGGCCTACCTTGAGGTGACATTCTATAGTACCATCCTTGGATAGCTTGTAGCTATAGTTTCAGCCCGATCTCCTTGCTAGTGTAGGTTTGACAGCACGCTGAACAAGACGCCTCTGTGGTTTTCGTAAAAATGGAAAAGCAGGAAAATCGTGCTGTCATCAAATACTTTTATTTGAAGGGGTTAACGCCGAAGGAAATTAAAAAAGAGATGGACTCAACACTGGGGACATCCTCCCCGTCATATTCAACCGTTAAGCAGTGGGTTTCCGAGTTTAAAAAGGGTCGTGTGAGCACCTCTGATGGGCCTCGCTCAGGACGCCCCGTTGAGGTCACAACTCCAGATATGATCGAAAAAATTCATCAAATAGTGCTGGGAGACCGCAGATTGAAAGTGCGTGAGATAGCTGAGACCTGTAAGATGTCATATGAACGTGTGCAACATATTTTGCACCAACATTTGCATATGGAAAAGCTCTGTGCAAGATGGGTGCCGCGTTTGCTAACAGTCGACCAAAAATTGATTCGAAAAAACATTTCTACCGCAAATTTGTCATTGTATAAGCGTAATCCAAGCGAATTTTTGCGTCGATTCGTAACCGTTGACGAAACGTGGGTCCACCACTACACTCCTGAAACCAAAGAACAGTCTAAACAGTGGATTGGACCAGGGGAACCAACTCCAAAGAAGGCAAAAACAATTTTTTCGGCGAACAAGGTTATGGCTACTGTTTTTTGGGATGCAAGAGGTATTATATACATTGATTACCTTGCAAAGGGTAATACTATCACTGGTCAATACTACGCAGACTTATTGCAACGTTTGAGCCACGAGGTGAAAATTAAACGACCTCATCTGGCGAAGAAAAAAATCTTGTTTCATCACGATAACGCACCAGCGCACACGTCAATCGTTGCGACGGCTAAAATCAACGATCTAAAGTTTGAATTGATGCCGCACCCTCCTTACTCTCCAGACCTAGCCCCGAGTGACTATTTTCTGTTCCCTAATCTCAAAAAATGGCTTGGCGGTAAGAGATTTGCGGACAATGAAGAAGTAATCGAAGCTGTAAATGGTTATTTTGAGGAGCTTGACGAATCAGTCTATAGAGATGGCATTAATAGACTGGAACACCGCTATGAGAAATGTATCAGCCTTGGAGGAGATTATGTTGAGAAATAAAAAAAAAAAATTTTTAAAAACCTTGTTTTTCTTGGTCAGGCCGGAAACTTATCAATCCACCCTCGTACACTATCAAAAGAAAAATTATTACTTTCGGTGGATTTATTATTGTGTCGATAAATAGAAAACTTTGTGCTTAGAAAAATTATTAAAAAAAATATATCACTAATCTAAATCAAGTTTGTTCAACCTTTTTAACAGTCGGACAAAATTAGCGATTTAAAATTCACAGACTGGCCACTGATTTATTATTTATTGACGCATTCACGGTTGCTATTTTTGCTACTAGTTTTTAAAATTTTGTTTTGTGCAACAAAAAAATAAAAATCAACATCTTTAAATTTAATTGTCGTTTATTAAGATAGTAAAACAAATAGCATCTACTGCCAAATGGAAACAAAATTGTAAGCAACAATAGTCAAAATCCGTGTAATCGATACAATCGATGAGATTTCTGGCATTGCTTTTGTTTTAAGGTTTTTAGTATAGAATGATTTTGGAGTTCAGTGCAACTGAATATTGGTAGGATAACTGCTTATATCAGTCAAGCTGATCATGCAAGGATTAACAAAAATTTGTAAAACCCTTGGTGTTTTTTTTTTTTATTGGCTTCTATGTATAAAACGTATTAAAGCAGAAAAAGTCGGTTATAATACCCTACAAATAATGCAAAAAAAAAACAATAGAAAACGTTTACTTTTGCTTGTATTTGTAAAAGATATTATATCGTATCAATTCTTTCGTCAGATGCTTCAAGGCTCAGAAGATCCTTACTAAACATGTACGTATGTATACTTATATAGCCTAGACAGCCCTTCCCTTATTAAAAAATATCTCACAAAAGAAGGCGAATCGCGAATAAAACGTAAGGATAATAAATTTCTAAACGTGTAGGTATAGTAGGGCTGAAAACGAAAATTCATCTTATTCGCATTAATGCGGCAGGTACATATTTCACCCCTGAAAAATGCCTTACATTTGGTGCTGCTTGATTGCAAAAAGCAGCGGTAACCTCAAACATTCCTTTTTAATTTAAATGCAAACTGCGAAGGTGCTGTTTTTTATACGAACCTTTCACAAATTCTTTGATTTAGAAGAATTTTCAGACAGTGAAATGAATTTTGCTAATTAAGTTAAAACTTTGCCGACCTTTTTTTGATGGTGGGGAATGCTTTTGTATTTAGGAAATTGCTTACAAAAGAAAGGAATTGTTCAAGGCGACAGAGCATAACAAGGATTAACGATCACCTTGATCTGAGTTTTAGAAGAAGTTAATATTAACTATTCTATTATTTTAAGTAAAAAGGATAAATAAAATCAAGATCATGCAGGTTACGAATTACGGTTTAATTAAGACAGTATAAGTACCCAAAATAGTTTTGATAGATAGTCTTTCTTAAAAATAGGGTTCGATTCAGTTTAGTTCGACATCATAGGGAGAATAGGAGCAGCAGAAGAAGGAGGGGGGTAGAGAGAACTTTCCCGGGTGGTAAGTAGGCGGGGAGAAAGTCCTATAAAGAAACAACTTGACCACGATATCACTCATCTCGTCCGTATTGTCTTACAGAGCACTCTAAACTAAAAAATTAAGAAATTCTAGAAAAACGTAGTTGAAAGAAGAGGTAAATTCAACTCCGAACCTGTAGAACAGTTTTTGGTACAATAACGTGACATGATACATATTTACGGGTAAGAACCATATCGCTGCTGTAAGGACGAAATCCTCGATTTCCTCAAAATGGTACGCGAACAGCAGAGAACGCTCGCTCCTCTCAGTGTGATAATTTTCAACAGTTGCTGCATCCATATCATTTGCAGCGAGCCTAAGCTTTACTTGAAACTGATTTTCAGCGGCGAGTGGATTTGTGTCGGTTTCGAAATAAAAGTACTGTATGTAGAATTACATTATCATGCAAGTGTGATTTTTGACTATGTGGATGACAACACTCCCACGAATATTTTCTAATCAAACATTCAAGACTTATATTAATGTAAGGAGCTTTGGTCATAAGAATTTACAAATACCAAGACCTAGAATGACCGTTAGGAGGAATTTGTTTGATATCAGTACAGGGGTGGGAATAATTAACATTTCAACAAATTTTAACTCTGAATTTTCTTAAAATATTTAAATACATGAAAATCGGTGCTTTCAAGGATCTGATGTTTACGGTAATGACTTTAATAAAAAAAATACATTACATTTGAATGCATTTATAGTTAAAAAGTAGGTAATAGGTAGGTAGGTAAAAGAATATCACATTTTGTATAGTTGGTGATTGTTAAAGGTTACACTTCTGTGATATATTCTAGCACATCTACTGTGGACTACCCATTAAGCTCACTTCGAACTTTCGCCTATCCAAAATTGCTTATGGCATTTTTCTTTTTTACAGTTAAACCACTTTTGCTTCAGTGCTCGTTGTACTTTCGATTCAAGGTATGTTAACGCTATATCAGAATTTTTTCCACATCCTTTGCACTGACAGACAACTTAGAAATTAGAGGAGAAGATGGGGGAAGTTTCGATAACGAATTTGAAACTGAATAGGTTTCTTGTGGAGGGATAAAACCAAAAGGTTTCACAAGCTTACCTTGTTGCATTTTATGAGATATATCAGAGAGAAGCGTAAAAAGAAATTTTGAAGGCACTATACGTTCCAAGAGAGGGAGTCTAGATGAATATTTAGGGAGGTAACAGAGTTTATCGAAAATATTTGTAGCTATATTACTAAAAATGTGACAATTAAACTTCAAAAAAAAAAAAAAAAGAAGGCAATTGCTTTGAGTTCCCTATCATCAAATTCTTCAAATGGTTAACTACATCATGGTAAGGTACCCCCAGCGTACCGCTCTGCAGATGCTAGTGGGGACTCATTCGAAGCCTAAGGAACGTGGAAAAGCGGACAATTCGCACTTGAGCTAGGGTAGACCTAACTCAAACTACTTACCCTTACGTTCCTTTTGTCATTTTCCTGAGTTAATGATATTACTGATAATTTTAGATTGAACGGTCCGATTCTGAAGAGAGTGCAACCAAAATTTTTTAGAGATACCTAAGATTTTTGAAACGGAATAGTTCTTCCGTTTCAAAGTTATCGCAGTCGATAGTTTTGGCATCATGTTTCATATGACCATGAAATTAAGAACTAAACGTTTACGAGGGTATATCTAGCGAACCATTAAAGATATAGCAAAAATTCTTGCACCACCAATTCATATTTCGTGTAGAGCAGTGTTTCCCAACCTCTTTTTCCTCGCGAACCAAAAGAAAGGTCCGAAAATATTTGACCAACCCCCTATGTAGTCGTTAATGACAGATAAAAAAAGCAATAAAATTTGATAGAATATATATTTTTCATATTGCAGAATAATTGATTATATTAATCGTGAAACATTTAAATAAAACATTAATAAGACTAAAATNTTTAGGAAATATACAGATTTCCTAGGAAATGTGTCTAATATAATTTATTTCACATATTTCGGGACGATTTTAAGAATTATATACATCTCCTAGGAATTGCATACAATGACGGATTTCATACATATCCGGTAACATCTGCACAAGGGTCTTTCCAATATAAATAAATTCGAAAGACTTGAGGACAGGATTGATGTGGAGAATAAGAGAAAACAAAAAACTTACCGTGACGATCTCGAGCATCTCCTGCCTCGATATGTAGCCGTTGCCGTCGAGGTCGTACATGGAAAATGCCCATTTGAGCTTCTGCTCGAGCTTGCCGCGTGAAGTGACCGAAAGCGCGCAAAGGAACTCTCGGAAATCGATGGTACCGTCGCCGTTGGCGTCGAATGTGCGGAACACGTGTTCCGCAAACTTACTCGCGTCACCGTACGGGAAAAAGTTGCCGTAAATTTTTTTAAACTCGTCCACCGAAAGGTGCCCGCTCGGACAATCCTTCAGGAAGCCCTTGTACCATTCTTGGATCTCGGCATCTGAAATTAACGAAAAACACGAAATAAATATAGAGTTTGAGTAACCACCGAAAGGCAAGGCCTAGACCATTGCTTAGCATTCGGGAGAACGTCGGTTCGATTCCGGGTCCATCTCCCTCGGTAGTTTTTCTGTGGTTTCCTTGGATCATTTAGGCAAGCGCATCTCATCTTTCACACCCGAACCACCATCCATATTCCCACGATTCGCGAAAATATTATTTTATAGGAATAATTGTCCTAATTATTTCTCAAAAACAATTTACTATATAATTTAGCGTATCATCGACACCTAAGCTTGTAGTACTGAACAGAAAGAGTGACCCTAATCATTAACTGTTTTAAGTTTAATCATCATCATAAGATCGTCAGTCCTATGACTGGTTGGACACGCTCCTCCACTTTTTCAATTTCTAAGCTAATCTTCGCATTTCCCTAAAACTAGAACAACCCACATTGTTAATTATTTGTAAACAGTAATCTAATCTAGTTCTACCTCTCATCCTCCTAACTCATGTTTCTGCCTCTAATTAATGTCTCTTACTAGACCTTCATGCCTAAGAAAGTGTCCCATCAACCTTTCTCGCCTATTTCTCATTGACTGAGAATCTTCTGTTCTCCTATTCTTTTCAATACCTCCCCATTTCTAACCTTCTCTATCTACTGTATCCTCATCATTCCCCTGTAACACCACATTTCGAACGCTTCTAACCTTTTCTTTCCAAACCTACACCTTTGACAATCTTTTTCGAATTTCTAAATTAACCGTTCGCGAGCATAGAAGTGACTTCTTTTATTGCGACTGGACCCTGCGCTATCCTCTGCTTTATATCCCTACTACTCCTACCATCTTGACTTAACTGACTTCCTAGATTCCTAAAATCAGTCACTTCTTCTAATTTTTCCTTGCCTATCTATATACTTGCTCGTTCCCTACTTTTTCCTTCCTTTCAAACCAGTACTTTTATTAGACAAGTATTCTCAGTAGAAATTAAAAAAATTAAGAATGACCTTCGACAACCATTAGAACAAAGCTTTATCTATTTTACTACAAAATTTTAAACCTCTGTTTCAACCATTAAACTCATGATATCCAGAACAGATAAGCATGTTTTTACTCTACGGGGCATGTACTACTGAATCCCCTTAATGTATCGGCATCTTTTGAGTATGTACTGTTGGTTCGTGCCGAGGCGGCTTTTATAAAAGATGTAACAGAGTAAACAGAAAAAGATTCGGTGTCATTTATTAAGGGGATTGACCGCAATAGACCGCTCGCACCTAGTGTGAATTTTTCCGAAAATAGGGGTTGCTATTCTAAACATTGTGATTTAACGCTGCAAGATAAATATCTGATTTTTTGTATGGTAACAGACAAAGGTTCACACTAACTCGATACGTTTTTGGTTTTCAATAATATTATCGTTAAAAGCTTTTATAAGTGCTTAAAGTTGATACTTTTTGTAGGACAAGTATCCTCAGTAGAAATTAAAAAAATTAAGAATGACCTTCGACAACCATTAGAACAAAGCTTTATCTATTTTACTACAAAATTTTAAACCTGTGTTTCAACCATTAAACTCATGATATCCAGAACAGATAAGCATGTTTTTACTCTACGGGGCATGTACTACTGAATCCCCTTAATGTATCGGCATCTTTTGAGTATGTACTGTTGGTTCGTGCCGAGGCGGCTTTTATAAAAGATGTAACAGAGTAAACAGAAAAAGATTCGGTGTCATTTATTAAGGGGATTGACCGCAATAGACCGCTCGCACCTAGTGTGAATTTTTCCGAAAATAGGGGTNAGAGGAATAAATTTTAATGTATAAAATTGTTGATATATTTTGATATTGATGAAGTAATTTTGAAAAACAAATAATGAAAAAAGAAATTAAAATATTGCAATTTGTTATAGATTTCTTAACAAACAGGCAGCGAACAATCTGTTTTACAGTAAGTGTGTTCTTTAATTTTTGTGTTTTTGTTTTTTTTTGCTTTTGGTTTTAATGGCGTTTTAAAAAATCCGCCATTACAATATTATTTTCGCGAACCCCCTCTGTAAACACTGCGAACCCCCAGGGGTTCGCGAACCACAGGTTGGGAATCACTGGTGTAGAGGATACAATAAAAAATGTTTGCCTTACATGTATTGTTAGTACCTAATATCGTAGCAGGACACCCGACACCATAGGGTGCATCAACTATCTAAGTAAACACTAATTTAGAATAAGGTAATAACTGAATAGTTCGTAACACATTAAACAATGTATTTAACGATTTAATAATTATATTTGTGAGTAAACATTTCACTATTTGTAAATGCAAATAGCAAGGCGATATGTAACTGCTTCAATATCAAACGGAATTTTTAAATCTGAAGCATATGTTATTCAATGCATTTGAAGGGATTGAGTGATTTAAATGAAATCCTTGGGACCGATTGACTCTGCAATGATTACGAGAACTATTCAAACAAGATTCCGAGAATACAAATACGAATGTTTAGCTATTTACTCATTTTCAACAAAACTAGACATAGACACATACCAGTTTACATACAAGAGCGCTAAAAGCTTCCAAACGAATAAATGCGAAAATCTTGTCGACACTGTACTTTGTTTACGTTAAACGATAATTATTGTTGCTACCTCTTTTTCCTTTAATACGAAATAGTCGTTGACGTTTCAAGACTCAACAGTTGTTTTATTCGATTTCATTAATTACAGTAAAAGTTCCTTATTCACGGTTTCCTTATTCGCGGATGAAAAATTGCAACCCAGTTCGTGTATTCGCGGTTAAACACTTCATTATTAGCGGATGTAATCGGTAAACAGAAAAGGATTCGGTGTCATTTATTAAGGGGATTGACTGCAATAGACCGCTCGCACCTAGTGTGAATTTTTCCGAAAATAGGGGTTGCTATTCTAAACATTGTGATTTAACGCTGCAAGATAAATATCTGATTTTTTGTATGGTAACAGACAAAGGTTCACACTAACTCGATACGTTTTTGGTTTTCAATAATATTATCGTTAAAAGCTTTTATAAGTGCTTAAAGTTGATACTTTTTGTAGGACAAGTATCCTCAGTAGAAATTAAAAAAATTAAGAATGACCTTCGACAACCATTAGAACAAAGCTTTATCTATTTTACTACAAAATTTTAAACCTGTGTTTCAACCATTAAACTCATGATATCCAGAACAGATAAGCATGTTTTTACTCTACGGGGCATGTACTACTGAATCCCCTTAATGTATCGGCATCTTTTGAGTATGTACTGTTGGTTCGTGCCGAGGCGGCTTTTATAAAAGATGTAACAGAGTAAACAGAAAAAGATTCGGTGTCATTTATTAAGGGGATTGACCGCAATAGACCGCTCGCACCTAGTGTGAATTTTTCCGAAAATATGGATTTCTATTCTAAACATTGTGATTTAACGCTGCAAGATAAATATCTGATTTTTTGTATGGTAACAGACAAAGGTTCACACTAACTCGATACTTTTTTGGTTTTCAATAATATTATCGTTAAAAGCTTCTATAAGTGCTTAAAGTTGATGCTTTTTGTAGGACAAGTATTCTCAGTAGAAATTAAAAAAATTAAAAATGGCCTTCGACAACCTTTAGAACAAAGCTTTATCTATTTTACTACAAAATTTTAAACCTCTGTTTCAACCATTAAACTCATGATATCTAGAACCGATAAGCATGTTTTTACTCTACGGCGCATGCACTACTGAATCCCCTTAATGTATCGGCATCTTTTGAGTATGTACTGTTGGTTCGTGCCGAGGCGGCTTTTATAAAAGATGTAACAGAGTAAACAGAAAAAGATTCGGTGTCATTTATTAAGGGGATTGACCGCAATAGACCGCTCGCACCTAGTGTGAATTTTTCCGAAAATAGGGGTTGCTATTCTAAACATTGTGATTTAACGTTGCAAGATAAATATCTGATTTTTTGTATGGTAACAGACAAAGGTTCACACTAACTCGATACGTTTTTGGTTTTCAATAATATTATCGTTAAAAGCTTTTATAAGTGCTTAAAGTTGATACTTTTTGTAGGACAAGTATCCTCAGTAGAAATTAAAAAAATTAAGAATGACCTTCGACAACCATTAGAACAAAGCTTTATCTATTTTACTACAAAATTTTAAACCTGTGTTTCAACCATTAAACTCATGATATCCAGAACAGATAAGCATGTTTTTACTCTACGGGGCATGTACTACTGAATCCCCTTAATGTATCGGCATCTTTTGAGTATGTACTGTTGGTTCGTGCCGAGGCGGCTTTTATAAAAGATGTAACAGAGTAAACAGAAAAAGATTCGGTGTCATTTATTAAGGGGATTGACCGCAATAGACCGCTCGCACCTAGTGTGAATTTTTCCGAAAATATGGATTTCTATTCTAAACATTGTGATTTAACGCTGCAAGATAAATATCTGATTTTTTGTATGGTAACAGACAAAGGTTCACACTAACTCGATACTTTTTTGGTTTTCAATAATATTATCGTTAAAAGCTTCTATAAGTGCTTAAAGTTGATGCTTTTTGTAGGACAAGTATTCTCAGTAGAAATTAAAAAAATTAAAAATGGCCTTCGACAACCTTTAGAACAAAGCTTTATCTATTTTACTACAAAATTTTAAACCTCTGTTTCAACCATTAAACTCATGATATCTAGAACCGATAAGCATGTTTTTACTCTACGGCGCATGCACTACTGAATCCCCTTAATGTATCGGCATCTTTTGAGTATGTACTGTTAATACGTGCCGAGGCAGCTTTTATAAAAGATGTAACAGAGTAAACAGAAAATGATTCGGCGTTATTTTTCAACATATCGACATCTTTTAAGTACTATTGGCTCGTGCCGAGGCGACTTTAATAAAAGATGTAACCGAGTGGACTAATTTCAAAATTCAATACAAGAAAAAAATCACTAAATTTTTTGAACTCTTGCCTAAAGCTGATTATAACGATTAATTTTAATTGCGAATTTCTCAATACATTGATTTCATTTTAATACATATTGGGTTTATTTTGGAACTTTAGAACGTATCCCCTATGATTCCAAAGTAATTACCATTCCATATCCACGGTTTCTGTATTCGCGGCATATTTATGGAACGTGTACCCCGCGAATAAAGAGCTTTTACTGTATTGTAAACAGATACAATCAAAATATACATAAGCTCAGTTTAAACCAAACCAAAAAGATTATACGCGACACAATTAGATCTGTGCCCCAAGAGAAGACCAAGAACTGTTTTACTATCACCTTCTACCCGATTGCGCGACAGAAAAAAGAGGGTTGTTTTTCACGCGTATCTGATGGGCACCTATGTGTGTGGAATTATTTATTCGACTGAACGGATTTTAATCAATTATGTGCCTATTCAATTATCTAAACCTTCTGATGGTCATAGCTTAGGTTTTGTTTCTACAAAATCGACATGACAACCGTACAAGACAAAAGGCTTGAAATTTCCTTTTTTTTTTAATATTTTCATCCTATACTTCAACATAAGGGCTGTATTATTGAAAAATTTTATGTAATAAAAGTTGTAGATAATTCAAAAATGTTTAATTTGAGCTGTCCAAAACTGAATTTCGTTAAATATTTTCATATTTTTAAAGTATTATAATGAAGCCTTTTTAATTCTTAATCGAATTAAATATTGTACAACTCGATAGATAGATAGATGCTCAGATAGGTATGTTAATTTGTTTATCCCGATACGTCAGACAAACATTTATTACTCTAGATTTCCTCTTGAATAGGCACAGACTTTTTTCAAGTAAGATTCTCGGCTCCTATCAAATTTTTGGGGAAGTTTAGGTTAAAGGAAATTCAAAAAAGATTGTTAAAAGCATATGACTGAAGCACGGATTTGCGCCGGAGCGGAATGTGGACCAAGGGCTCGCCGGAATAGAAAAGCGTTTGAAATCTTGTGTTATAAGAGAATAATAAAAATATAATAACTGTTAGAAATGAGGAGGTATCTGCAAGAGTAAAAGAACAAAGGGAGTCATGGAAATCAACAAGGAAATGGAGAGATAACAGGGACACCTTCTAAAACATAACAAATACAACATAACAAAGAAGGACAGTCTTCGGACAGGCGATCCTGTGATGAAACAAATTTATAATCATCACCATAACGTCGTCAGTCCTAAGACTGGTTGGACACGCACCTCCACTCTTTCCTATCCTGAGCTAATCTTCGCCTTTTCCTAAAACTAGAACAACCCACATCCTTAACTATTTCTGAACAGTAATCTAATCTAGGTCTACCTATACTCCTCTTAACATCTGTTTCTGCCTCATAATATATGTCTCTGACTAGCCCTTCATGCCTGAGAAGGTGTCCCATCAACCTATCTTGCCTATTTCTTATTAACTTCCATAGAGTCCTCTGTTCTCCTATTCTTTCTAATACCTCTTCATTTCTAAACTTCTCTGTCCACGATATTCTCATCATTCGCTTGTAATACCATATTTCGAACGATTCTAACCCTTTCTTTTCCGCCGCACCCACTGTTCATGTTTCGCACCCGTACAGCGCCGCACTCCAAACATACACCTTTAACAACCTTTCTCGAATTTCTATTGAATTTAGGGTAACGTTTTATACAAGATTTGTATTCACCTTTCATTTACAAACAATTTTTAATTTTTATTAACTTCCTAGTAATTTTTTAAAGGATATATGAAAAGGTCGGAGTCGTTGTTAAATGTTGTTTGTAACGGATGCGCTTTTAAGTGTAACTTCTTTTAATGCTGTCTTGGGTATAAAACGTTCAATTTTTGCTAGTCATCCAGGTCGAATCGTTCTTGGCGCTCTCAATGTGCCAAGGCACTTTGATATATTGGTAGTTTTAGCGAAGGGCCTTCCTCCGCTCGTATATCAACACGAAAATCAACCCGACGCCCCTCCTGTCCGTTCGTCCATCTAATAAAACGTAGGGTTAAAAACTACGCCAAACGTCTGCCGAAAATCTCCCGAAAAATCGACGTGATACGTCTTAATAAAAGTTCCCGTTGGCGTTATGACGCTAACGCTTGACTGAAATAGTCAGTTATTTTGACAATATTCAATTGGAACTCAGTGAATTGCAAAATTATTTTGCGCAAAAAACCTTCATCATCATAAGGTCGTCAGTCCTAAGACTGGTTGGATACGCACTTTCACTCTTTTCTATCCTGAGCTAATCTTCGCATTTTCTTAAAACTAGAACAATCCACATCCTTCACTGTTTGCGAACAGTAATATAGGTCTACTTCTACCCCTCCTAACTTCCGTTTCTGCCACTAATATGTCTCTGACTAGACCTTCATGCATGAGAAGGCTGTGTTGCCTATTTCTAATTGACTTCTATAGAGTACTCTGTTCTCCTACTCTTTCTAAGCATCTCTATCCACGGTATCCTTATCATTCGCCTGTAACACCACATTTCGAACGCTTCTAACCTTTTCTTATCCGCGCGTCCACTGTCCATGTTTCGCACCCGTACAGCGCTGCGCTCCAAACATACACCTTTAACAATCTTTTTCGAATTTCTAAATTAACCGTTCTCGAGCATAGAAGTGACTTCTTTTTATTAAAGGCGACACGACCCTGCGCTATTCTCTGCTGTATATCCCTACTATTCTTCTTCGTCCTGACTTATCTTACTTCCTAGATACATAAAATCGGCCACTTGTAATTTTTCGTCTCCTATCTTTATATTCGCTCTTTCCCTACTTGTTTTTCCTTTGCATACCAGTATTTTTGTTTTACTTTTATTTATTTTCATAGAGTACTATTTTGTCAGCACGGCATCTATTTTACCACATATCTTTAAAGCCATAAAGTATACAGGTAGTTTTGGATCAATCAATGTTTGTAAAAAGTTTTTCAAATGTTACTTTTGTAAAAAAATGATTAAACGCGTAACTCCAGCTGAGTAATATACAGATATTTGATTCATTCATACTGACATCTGACCTGACGCCTAGCACAGGAAAATTATTTATTGGCACAAAAACAATGCCAATTACTTGGATTTAGATTTTTGTTATATAAAATTGAAAGTAGGTGCTATTTATTTCAATAAACGACAACTAAATTTTAAAATTTTGATTTTTTTGTTGCACAAAATAAGATAATACACAGTACACCGTCTCTTTTTCGAAATGATTACTAATAAGCTGAAGCTTCGTCTTGACGAGACCTACAACTTTTCTTTCTACAAAAATCTCGACAACGGGAAATATAGGTGACAACTTTGGAGAAGTTTCATTTTTCGTGAAAATGAAGAAGAACACACTATGAATGTGTGTTACATGTAAGATGTTTTTTAATGATGCAACCAAGTGCTTACTGATGTTAGAGGCAAACGTGTGGCTTTGATCCAACGCACTTTACGTAAGCCGAGAATTCCTTTTATTTGCAAAGTGTAAAAACAGATAAAAAAACATGTGGAGCATGGAGATACTCAAGCAAAAGAACTACCGACATAAATCAAATCGCGGCTGAAAAGTAATTTCAAGAAAGACTTGTACTCGCTGCAATTGATAAGTATGCAGCAACTGTAACTTTAAGAATTGCCACATTGAGAGGAGGCACTGTTCTCTGCTTTTTTGCGTGTACTATTTTCTTTGAAATCGAGGATTTCGTCCAGCAGCGATATGGTTCAAACCCGTAAATACGTATCATGTCACATTATTGTAACAATTGTTCTACAGTGATTGACCTACACTAATAAATAAAATTGATGTTTTATTGCTGAATTAGTTTGTTGAGCTGTACAAAGTTTAAACGTTAAAAGAATAAACAACTACTAGAGGTTGGCTATTAACGTAAACATTCTGAATCACACTTAATTTAATCTAACAAATAAACAATACATGACCAAAAAATTCAAAACAAATACTACACTCATGCTGGTAACTACCAGACGATTGAGTGCAACGTTGCGGAGCGTATTTCTTTATCAGGGCCGAACTTAAATTTACCTGTACTCCTAACTACGTTTTTGTAGAAAATGGTAAATATTTGGACATACAAACGTTTACTTAATTTTCATGTTTAATAGTGTCCTTCTGCATGTTTCTGTTACACCCTGTATATTGAGAAAAGGCTCTTACAAGAGCTTATAAAAACGAAATACCTCTCGATAACATACTCATCCCGAAATCCCCAGAACTACTAAGCTCACAAATTCGCAGTCTGGCACGTATGCTTCCTCAGGTTCTAGGTCCTCGAGATACGAGAGGATTACTAGAAATTTTGTCTTTAACGATATGAACGGATTTACCATTACCTACATATTATGTGTTTTGTATACTTATTTTTGTATGCATTTAAAATGTTATTTAACGTGTTACTTAATTTATTAATCAAGTGATTAACCAAAATACAATCCGCTTCAGATTTTTAGATAACCCTGTTTGGACATGCCAAATGAAAAGAACACATAGTACACGACTTTAAAGAGCTCGACATTTCAAAAGCACGACATAGACATTAAAAGTGCTAATTAAATTTTTAATGCATCCTAAAGAGGCAAGCAGAAAAGACTTTTTTATCCTTTTTTTACGATAATGATGGGTATAATAAAATGGTAGATACATATTAAGTATGATATTCCTGTTTAAAGCTTTTACATGTAAAATTTCATTCATATACATATGTAGGCTAAAAATTGTAGAAAACGAGAGGGTGTGGCAAACGAATGGATATGTAAACGGAAATGTGTGTAATCCGTTATTGTATACAATTTCTAGTATGTATATAATTCCTAAAATCGCCCGAAAATGTGTGAAATAAATTATATTAGACATATTCAAGATATCATTGGGTTCAAGAATATCGTAATTTTATACAATTCTTAGGAAATGCATACATTTCCCAAGATATGTGTGTATTAAAAAATCATCTTTCAAACAATAAATAACCTCGTAATGGTATCCAATTCCTAGATTTCATACATTTCCGGTAATAGATACATAAATATGTACAACGAAATCCTACCGGTGGTTGGACACAACTACCAGATGACATTTTGATGTAGTAGTATTGAAGTAAAACAGGGTCTGTGTTACCAGAAATGTATGAAATTTGAGAATTGTATACAATTCCTAGCAAATATATACAACTCCAAGGCTATTTGGAAAATCTATAAAATATTGTTTCGCCGGAGGCGGACTGATATGATGTAATAATGTCTTCGAAAAGTATGCTTCATTATGATCTCCGCGCCCAACATATGTATATTAAAATGATTAACATTATCACCTCTACAACATACCAAAAATTCAAGGTCATCGTGTTTGCTGAAATAAAGATAACCTCGTCACATTATTCTAGCGTCTAGCACATCAGCCCGCCTCTAGCGGGCAGGGGCTAGAAACTCCAGTCTGTCATAAATCTATCTTATAACCATACAATAACGTAACCAACTGATATAGGTACATCTCCAAACAGCCTACCGTATTATCGCCTATTTAGTATTACCTGTAATACATTTCCGATTGCTATTTAGGAAATATACAGATTTCCTAGGAAATGTGTCTAATATAATTTATTTCACATATTTCGGGACGATTTTAAGAATTATATACATCTCCTAGGAATTGCATACAATGACGGATTTCATACATATCCGGTAACATCTGCACAAGGGTCTTTCCAATATAAATAAATTCGAAAGACTTGAGGACAGGATTGATGTGGAGAATAAGAGAAAACAAAAAACTTACCGTGACGATCTCGAGCATCTCCTGCCTCGATATGTAGCCGTTGCCGTCGAGGTCGTACATGGAAAATGCCCATTTGAGCTTCTGCTCGAGCTTGCCGCGTGAAGTGACCGAAAGCGCGCAAAGGAACTCTCGGAAATCGATGGTACCGTCGCCGTTGGCGTCGAATGTGCGGAACACGTGTTCCGCAAACTTACTCGCGTCACCGTACGGGAAAAAGTTGCCGTAAATTTTTTTAAACTCGTCCACCGAAAGGTGCCCGCTCGGACAATCCTTCAGGAAGCCCTTGTACCATTCTTGGATCTCGGCATCTGAAATTAACGAAAAACACGAAATAAATATAGAGTTTGAGTAACCACCGAAAGGCAAGGCCTAGACCATTGCTTAGCATTCGGGAGAACGTCGGTTCGATTCCGGGTCCATCTCCCTCGGTAGTTTTTCTGTGGTTTCCTTGGATCATTTAGGCAAGCGCATCTCATCTTTCACACCCGAACCACCATCCATATTCCCACGATTCGCGAAAATATTATTTTATAGGAATAATTGTCCTAATTATTTCTCAAAAACAATTTACTATATAATTTAGCGTATCATCGACACCTAAGCTTGTAGTACTGAACAGAAAGAGTGACCCTAATCATTAACTGTTTTAAGTTTAATCATCATCATAAGATCGTCAGTCCTATGACTGGTTGGACACGCTCCTCCACTTTTTCAATTTCTAAGCTAATCTTCGCATTTCCCTAAAACTAGAACAACCCACATTGTTAATTATTTGTAAACAGTAATCTAATCTAGTTCTACCTCTCATCCTCCTAACTCATGTTTCTGCCTCTAATTAATGTCTCTTACTAGACCTTCATGCCTAAGAAAGTGTCCCATCAACCTTTCTCGCCTATTTCTCATTGACTGAGAATCTTCTGTTCTCCTATTCTTTTCAATACCTCCCCATTTCTAACCTTCTCTATCTACTGTATCCTCATCATTCCCCTGTAACACCACATTTCGAACGCTTCTAACCTTTTCTTTCCAAACCTACACCTTTGACAATCTTTTTCGAATTTCTAAATTAACCGTTCGCGAGCATAGAAGTGACTTCTTTTATTGCGACTGGACCCTGCGCTATCCTCTGCTTTATATCCCTACTACTCCTACCATCTTGACTTAACTGACTTCCTAGATTCCTAAAATCAGTCACTTCTTCTAATTTTTCCTTGCCTATCTATATACTTGCTCGTTCCCTACTTTTTCCTTCCTTTCAAACCAGTACTTTTATTATTTATTAAGANTATATCCCTACTACTCCTACCATCTTGACTTAACTGACTTCCTAGATTCCTAAAATCAGTCACTTCTTCTAATTTTTCCTTGCCTATCTATATACTTGCTCGTTCCCTACTTTTTCCTTCCTTTCAAACCAGTACTTTTATTATTTATTAAGATAATTAACAAAACAAAATACTAATTAAACGTAACCCTATAAATATAGAATTAGATTTAAATATGTTACGTCACAAAGGTTTGCCCCCCCCTGCTCCTTGTCACACAATGATATATCTTGTTGATTCCCTCCCATTACCTTGTGACGTAATTTACGGACAGATGGTCCCTAAGAGAGGATGTTTTGAGTAAAATCGGTAAATAACACTCGGACACCTTTCTTACAATTAGTATTAATGGGATTAGTAATAATTGGGTGTACTAAATGAGGTAATTTTTCGACTTACCCGAGAACTCTGTGTTCTGCTTAAGGTCTTCCAAAACCTCCGGTTTTAGTTTACTGTTCTGCTTTCCCATACTCGATGGTTTTCACACCACCTGCCGTGTCACTGTCGCCTCCTAAATCATACAAAAAAAAACATTTGAATGATTAGAAGCCTAAATTCAGAGCCTCCAACATGGAACATGTCGAAATGCTAAAATGACACTCGTAATAATTGATAATAATATAATTTAATTATTCACAAAATGGAAAAAAATAATAAATGGAACAAACAAAACATGTTGTACCACTATAAAAGTCTCTGTCTTTTTTTTTTTTCTTTAAATAAATGCTGCTTCTCGTTATTTAACGAATACAATAGTATGTACATAACCATAGCGATGATGTTAACGGTTAAAAACTGTACAAAATTCATTACTTATAAAACGTTATCATATGCAAAAATTTAAAAATCGGCGTACACAAAGCAAACACATTTCTAATACAATTCAGATTCGGCGGATGACAGGGGATAAAACGACATAAGCAATAAATTGTAGCTGGTTGAAGGTTCGAAGTGGATTTAATCAACGCACCAGGTGTGCTGCAATCGTTCTATAATCGATGAGTCCAATTTAGTGTAAAGTTAGAAAATTACATGTATCTTGGAAGTGTGACCTTTGACCATCCGGATAACAGTGGTCTCAACATATTTTCTTTATCCAAACTTTTAGGGAGATTTATATTAATATAAGGTTAATTTTTGCTACAGGAATTTGATTACCAACCCCTGAAAGTATGCTTAAAGAATGTTGGTTAGACCGTGGTCATCTAGATATTCAAAGATCAGACTTGTACAATACATCTAGGTAAAGTTATAAAGAAATGAGCTTTTCCAACTTTACACAAAAATGTACACAACGATATTTGATGGCCGATCCATCGAGACATTTCGCGCGGTGCAACGGTTGGAACGTTCAAGTCCGACGATTTCGAAGGCGAACCCACCAACGTTCGTCGGACGAAGAGTCACCCGGTAACTTTCGCGCTAACCTTCACGCAACCACAACTGCTTGCTGCGTCTTACCTTTTGTTCAAAATTACATCGAAACCAACGGCCAAATCAATCTACCTACATAATTTACGTACAATATCAATACCATAATGAACCATTATTATTACTATAATTATTATTACTAATAAATATTCACGTATCGAAGAAGATGCGAACTGTGTTTGCCTTTACAATGTTATTTTTCTATAGAGTGGGAAATAGCTTATTAACTATAATAGAAGGTACAATATCAATAGAAACAGGCCCGTAACTGAAAATGTAGGCACTATTACGATTTTGTGTAAGTATATAAATAATAATGTTTGTATAAATGACTAGACTCATATAAAAATGAAAATAAACAAAGTAAAATTATTAAAAACGGTTTAATGCAGTATGGAACATTAAACTAAAGCGAGTCTTATGATTATTAATTCTATTGTCGGAGCTGACAGTAAGCTGCAGTAGCTAGTTTTAAAAATTTGGTCATTATAATATCTGATAAGTTGTTAAGAAAATTTATAGTCCCAACATTGTAAGGTACGGTCCTGATTGAAAAGGCTAATTGTCTAATTTATACAATTTGAATTTAAGATTATTAGAAAACAAGTGCTGTCTCACTCAAAAGAAATAACTAACTTTTATCTATGTTCAATATAATTGGTCCGACAATATATATTTTTTAAAAAATTTTATTTATCCACTGTGTGTCCCCAAATATAATTTTTTTATACCACTAGTCAAAAAGCACCTGTTTTCTAGAAACCTTCTGCATTTTGCTCTTTTTTTACATTAATTGGTGTCAATTTAATTTTGTAAAGTTTAATCTAGTAAAAAAAATACATTTAGATTTCATAACTTGTGCCACATAGCATAAGGGCGTGAGATATGTAAGGTATACAGTAGTTAGTTATAGAAGGTAATATCAGTACAAGCGATATTGGAAAATGGAAAATAGGGAGGGAAATATTAGGTACAATATTTTATAAATTACAACTATTTCAGGTATCTATAAGCAGAGACGAAAGACGTATATATAAGAACTATACTTATGAAAAAAATAATATAATATAAAGTAACCACCAAATGGAAACTTTTTTGAAGTGAAATTTCTTTGTAGACGCGGGGTATTACGATTTTTTTTGTCACGAAAAAGCGTTACGGCCGCATGGAGGGGGTAGACGGTATATTGCTAGGTCAGAGGCGGCAGCTGTATTAGATGTATATAATGCGCAGCCGCGCGGAGAGTGGGGTGTCCGCTAGAGTCCCGGCGGCGTGAGCTGTGCTCAGCTGTTGTTTTCTTACCGCTGCTCTCCACGTGGCTGGGCATCCTTGCCTCTATTTGCGGTCTGTGTAAAATACAAATCATAATTTGCAGTAAACCTGTGAAAACGAAATGTGTGCTGGGACACATAATAGAAGTTAAACTTCAATGGACAAGTGGAAAAACGAATCGCAACAACTTGAAGTTTTACGGGCAGGTTTTCAAATTGGGCAAGTACATTAACAATCTGCCCGTAGAACTTGAAGTAAAAATTTTGTTGCGATTAGTTTTTCCACTTGTCCACTTCTAGCATGTGTCCCAGCACACATTTCGTTTTTAAGGATTCCGATTATTACCTACGTCAACAAAAAAGTTTACCGTAAGTACAATATTAAATGTGTTTCCCACTTTTTTGCAAAAGGCTACCGAACGTTGACTGCACCTTACTAGTGGCTACTTCATAAAACATAAAATTTCCCAAATTCGAACTTCTATATACGTCTTGTTTCTTCAATATAAGCTACAGTAATAAAAAATTCATACACTTTATTAGTCGATAAATAGTAATTAATTCTGGTGCTACATGATTGTGTTAATTGACTTACAGATCAGTGATTTAGCTCAATAATTATTATTTATAAGGTAAGACTAGGGATAGCGGTTATTGTTAGATTATTCACTCTTTGATGTTAGTTTGTTTTTTAAACAGGTAGGTATTTTAAAAGTAGCCGCAATATGAGAATTCAGTTTATATTGTTTCTATGCAAGCGTGTAAGGATTATAGTTGCTGTCTAATAATATACAGGGTGTTTCCTTAATTTGATTCGATCCCAATTTTAATATCTAAAAAATTACAGAGTATCTATCACCAGATCAAAAAAAATTCCCGTTTTTCCCATATTTTTCCAGTTTATTCTTGGCCACTTTTGTTGTTTGTTTCTTTGAAAATTATGATAAGCTAGTTATCCTTAAGTGGTGTCCAGTTTATACTGCAGAAATTTATTTTATCAGATCAAAGATATACTTTGGTGCAGCTTAAATCTGTTTCTGAATAAAATTAACAAAAATCCTTAATTTGCAATCTTTGATCAAACGATTATTTTTTCTAAACTTTAAAAGGAATAGTAGAAACAAGTGGCGGTGGTTTTACGGTTTACATTAGGTACTAATGGGATCATGCAATTGACCAAACTATAACGTAAATGACATTAAAATGTCTGAATTTTCATTAGACAAGGAGTACCTCCTGTACTTGAGACGTCAGGAGTATTGTAAAATAAAAATCTTGATAGTGGACAGTGACTATACGCAGAAGCAAATGAATTAGAGGGAGTTTAGAATTTCGTGGGCCATGAACTTGGGTTACGCCTATTCATTGATTTTTATTTCTTATTAAAAAATATTGACCTTCTGAACATTGTCATTTAGATGGTTAACGGTCGAGTCAATAAGTATATGACAGGCAAGGTCCGACCCCGCGAATTTCGCGGCTTAGGGCATTTTAAAATATTCAATGATATTTCTACTAACAACAAAATAGAGTATTACCTTCTAATAATCATTGTCATCTTTCCATATGAGTTTTTTCGGTTTGAACCTAGAGTCCCACAATCTACAGAGTACCTACCAAACTAATTCAATCGTTGTATAAATAAATAAAAGAAAAAAAAAACACTATATAAAACCGATGAAGATTTAAAATAATAAATAAATAATTAAAACATCGCGTGGTGACATTTACACAACTGTAATTAACGAAACACATTCGAAATCGCATTTTTCTCAAGACGATCACACCTACAAATAAATAATAAAAAAAATATCCCTTTTTTAAGGATGCTCCCGGTAGTTTGTAGATTTTTGAAACATAAAAAAACAGGATTAGTAGAATATGGCTTATCGCTTATTCCTATTAGTGACCTAAATATTTGTTAAAATAAAGGTTACGTTACTTCAACCCTATTGTCCTAAATTCAATGATGCAACAATTTGGTGTGTGCGAAATATCTTTGTCTGCATACGACACTAATAAACGGTTTAGTGCATTTAAACTACTCAATTCATGCATAAAATAATTTTAATTCGACCGTTCATTTTCATTTTCATATTTCATGTATTTCACACTTCTATCACTCGCCAAATAATGTAGGAAAATACTCAATTAAATGTAGAGGTAGTTCAGAACCTCATGGATCTTGACCTTGGATTGCGCAGCGACAAAACTGCGTACATTCATTTATTTTTGCTTTTTAAAAACATAACGTAATTGTTATTTGGAGGTTCATCACGGGTTGTAGAGTGACGTACGTGGTTAACTACAGCTGAGTCAACGTTTTTGTAATATGAACGCATTAAGGCCCGTCTTTCGCGTATATATGAAAGGCCCATGAGATTTTGAAATACCTCTACTTCGCACACAACCCCTTCCTTTCTTTTTTGTTATGCACCAAGTTTACAAATACGTTTGTACGCTTTCGAAAAACAAAAATTAGTATCCACAAACCACAAAAAATAAATTGGGCCTGTGGTACTTTATTAGACATTCATATCGCCAAATTAGTACTACTTTATGTAATAACTGCAAACTAACGATCAAATCTCCTAGCGGGGTATCTAAAAGTCCCTTGCCCTCGTCAATTTTCGTTTAAGGGATCGTTCCCCATAACACCAACATTTCCTAAACATGACATTATTGGAATTTCAAACGATCGCCATCTTTATCACCAAACCGTGCTAGAGATACCGGATCCCAGGGGAAGCTTTACGAATCCCATTCGGAGCCCTCAAACGGCGCCCCTTCGTTCTGTTTACATCCGTTTCGTCCTTAAATCCGCATCACTGCAAATCTCAAGCTGCTCCACTGGCAACGTTACATATCGATTCTGGAATATTACCACCTAACGCGGATCTACAGTTGCGAACGAAAAATATCGAATGGTCAACAAATTTTTACACCTGATTTATTTATTTTTTAATAAAAAATATATGTGAGTTGTCAAATTCTAATCATTTTATTTATCAAAACCTTAGAAGGTTCTCGTAAATGCAGTGACAGCCTGCGAGTGTATTAATGTGTTCGAAAAGCATAACATGGAGAAAACTAAATTTTTATGATAACGTAAAGATTACAATTTTCGATTGTAAATGACTGAATTTGTCATAGACATANAGAGAAAACTAAATTTTTTCCGTAGAAATAGTAGAATTTATTATGTAACTTGTAATAATCTCAAATTTGACAAAATAATTTTGTTTCTTAATTATTACAATTTAATTTGTAATATCAACTAAAATATCTAGTAAATTTACTGCTGCTGGGATTTTTTTTAACAATTTCGGGTCCAAATCGTAATTTATATTATTTTCGCTTACGAAGCAACTGGCTAGTGGGATAAATTGTAAATATCGCTTCAATATTTAGGTAAACTTTTCTTTTACATTTTCCCCGTGAATTCAAGTTGTTTCTTTCGGAATTCATTAAAATCATTAGTGTTTACTAATTTCTTTTTAAAGCTATTTTGACCTGGCTTAGTGCATTTAATTCCAATCGCTCAGTGTCGGGTTATATATGTCATTAAAGTTTTTAAATCCTTACAACCATAAAATTAATAAATTACCAACATGCGAAACTTAGTTTTAAATTAATGCCCAATTTAAAATGTATCTGAAAGCTAATGCATTAAGTTCGTATTGTAATCTTTCAGTTTCTTTTCATTGCCAAGTGGAAATGTAGTTTCCTCAATAATTATTGTTATTGATTTTTAAATCATTAAAACGACACAATGCGTTTGTAATATACTGTTTTACAATAAACCGCGTAATATTTAGTTAAATCACAATAAATCTACGCGTTAATCTTATTATATTGATCACCGATTGAGATTTATTGATCATCCGCGACTTTATATTCACCACATTTCTGATGTAACTCTTTATCAACTGGACATGTTTCGACGAACTACCCTGGAATTGACCTTAGACATATACACAAAAGGTCAATTTTTCAAAGGCGATTACCGTTATTCAGGGCAAATCTGAGGTAACTCCGAATGGGCGACCAAATAAGCCCATAGAAAGTCTAAGAGCCGCTTCACACGAAGCGTATGATCAGGACGGATCGTTCAACGCTCATCATAATGCTTTCAACGACCAGTCGTTGTTGTCGTTGTTATATTCAGGGACATAGCCAGCCTTTAGTTCCCAAGGGTCGAGGGGTCAGCCACATCATTGTAGATTTGAAGCTCAATATAGCCCACGACATACATCATATATAAACGTACATCACTGAATATACCTTGATAATATTAGCGTATTACGGTCGTAGGGTGGAAAAGGAAAAAATGTCGCAGACCGCATCTTTATTTCCTCCCCTGATAGCGCAAATACTATTGGGCACTAACTCTCGGACATTAAATGATTTTTTTTTGAATAAATAATCGAGAATAATCGCAGTTTTGCATTATTAAATAAAAAATTGATAACAAATAAATATTTACATTTACCAGTATGTAAAAATGGATTTATTCTTTTCAGCTAATAGAATTTAAAAAATAAATATATACAACTTTATAATCCATTCATTCCGCCACTTCCTATAATCGTTAGCGATTCAAACTTATGACAGAAAACGAAAAGTGATTTTTTTTCAATTGATGAGATTTAGCACGCGTGGAAATCACTGCATCTATTGATTTTCTTTAACGTCTGAGAAAAGAAAACGTTAAATTCGAGTTAAGCGTGCGAACTGACATGCTTCATTGGTTTAGAAATTTCAAAGCGCTATACAGAGATTTTTCCAGGGATTCAATTCTTATAATGCAGTAACGGTTTCCAACACGCACGTTTATTGAATTCGAACACCATAAAACGTTCTTTTTATGACCTTGCCTTACATATTCCGAATAAGAATTTTTGAGATTGTAAATCGAAATTATTTAAAAAACAAATATGTACAGTAGAATCCGCTTATAATGACATCGCAGGGAAATGACAAACATGTCATACTAAGCGGGCGTCATATAAAGCATAGTCTTACAAAATAACTTTTTATTTTGGGTAGTTATTTAGTTTAATAGAGAGAAAAACTAGAAATTGTATTTATTTATTAACAGAAAAAGAAAAAGAACGATGAATTGTACTATCGATATACATAAGAAGGGTCAGAAAAATGAATGAAAATGTATCTATAACAGGATATGATTTCTTGGGAATCAGTCATAATAAACGATATGTCATTTTAAACGGAGTCATTATATCCAAACTTTCCTATAGACAATTTAATATGAAAACCAAACTTAACACTGCAATTACTTCATATTAAGCGGTTGGTCAATATAGTCATAATAAACGAATTCCACTGTATATCTTGTGACCTCATATTTGGATAGCAAATGACGAAATGACAAATTACACTATTAAACAAAAAATGAAACGTTTCCCTCTTTGTATATATTATATATCTTATTATTTAAACCTTCAGCCTAATAATTTAAGTTTTTATTAGTTAAAATATTTAATGAGAAGTTAAGAAAAATCGAAATTTAAAATTGTCACAATTAAATTACCTGATAGCTTTAAAATTACCCTATTACTTCCTCTTTTGCTTTAATTTCACTGATAGCCCGTTATCCCGTGTGACCACCTTAATGTTGCAATTGACTAACAGTCAAAACTGTTCATTCATACGCGTTACGAATTTAGCATACATTTAGAAGAAAATGAAACAAGAAAGCATACTATTTTTAAATTAAATTCCTTACCTTATTACACAGATCTGCTCCAATTGAACATCCCTGAAAAAAAAAACATGAATTTCTGTCTTCGCCTACTATTACTAACCACTGACGTCCGGCGAATACTGTGCCGTTACAGCTACTTATCAAACTTGGGTTTTTGGTTTACTTTTGATTGTCTAAACACCGATGGATAATATTCAGTATATTTCATCCCGTAATTCTCTTAGCAAGCGGCTACTTTAAAATTTGCAACACCCTGTACATTATAACCGTAAAAAAAATTGGAATTAACAGGAATTAAACTAAATTATGTAGATATACAATTATTGGAATGTCAAATACACACACCGCCATATCGTTCTTTATGTACACCTTGTCACAAAAGTGTACACGTGCTATTGGAAGAAATTTCGTACTTTATACAGTCATTGATTTCAAAAGCCGTAATAATAGTACACCCGATACATTTAATAGAACAGTCAAATGTGACAATATAAAAAAAAAACATCGTTATCATAGTAATTTAACTGAGAAGTATTTAAAAGTGAGGTTACGTTATTGAAAATAACTTTTTTTGAATCTGGTGCCGTTGCCCTACTAAATTTATCGATTGTACCTGCACGCACGTCGTGACCGAGCCCAGGGTCGGACTTGAAGAAAATTGTCATACGGACCGGAACCTAAACTGTTATAATCATTTAAATAAACTACAAACTTAACGGAAGTCTTTTGTTTTTTTTTGCTGGTCTCAAAATATTCTTCTTACGTAACCGATTCTATTTAGATCTCATTTATTCTTTTCGTCGTAAAAATATGTTTACGGTGCTAGCATCTTCGAGAGCTCCTCGTCCTGCAAGCAGCCCTTAAGAAATTCATCTTGAGTCAGTTGACCGTCGTTATTTTCGTCCATTTTCGCGAATATATTCTTTGCCCTTTCCTCGGCAGTGTCAGCCGGTCGATTCGATGAACAAGCACCCAACATGTCGTAGATGGCCTGGAAACAAAAATGAAACAAATGCTACGGAAACTTTAACACACAATTTGAACATAAAATGCAGCGTATGCGTGTTCACTTAAGATAAGGCCCAATATGTTACGCACAGCAGAAATAATATACGAAACGAGGCAGGGGTCATCTTGATAGAAAAAGAGATAATTCTTTAAAACAGTTTACAACAAACAAGAAATCACACATTTCTTTGTCGGCATTAGTTTTTTTTGTTGCACAAGTGAAAATACGGTGTATACTCTTTATAACGTCACTCAATTTAACGACAAACTCCTTAAAACGTAGAAATTGCTTGACTTTGGTTGGTTTACATTATTTTCTATACAATATTACACTCTATATAGCGTCACGCTCACTCTATTTAACGACAACAATGCGGCATTATAAATCATTAAGCAGTACTTTCTAAGTTGCCGAAATAGATAAGAACTGCAGCTGTGTACGTTGTTGAAGAAGACGATCCTGTTCCTCCACCAAGCATCAAACAAGCACTTGATGCAGCGAAACTATTAATACTTTTTATATAATCAAATTGATCCAGCAGTATCTCAAGATATGAGTATGATACGTAACAAAATACAATTAAAATATTAGAGCAGCAAAAAACATCAGACGAAAATAATGTTCGTGTGCACAATATTGGTAATTACATTTTATTATAGAATAGTAAAATAATATCTTTTATTTCTCTCCATTTAACGACCACTCTTTATAACGCCGAAAAATGTTCAGTCCCTTAAGTGTCGTTATAAAGAGTTTATACATTGTATGTAATTTGATGGACGCGAAGAAAACATTTTTTGACCAAGTCCGTCTGTATATATGTATCTGTTTTTCTGATAACTATCCTCAACTATCCAAACCTTCAAAATCTTTTAAACAAAGCGTAGAACCCATCAATATCTTTATTCTATTTATATTATTTACTTTGCGATTTGATTTATACGATAATTTTGCAGACTACGTCATATTTTTCAAAGGTGCTGCCAACAAATTTCCCAATGTCCGCTTTTTAATGGAGAAACATGGTGTCATAAGAAGGAGATTGATGAAAATGAGAGACACAATGGTAAGGAACCATTCGACACAAGAATGACTATTTGGAGGCATGTTACAGGCAGAAATAGGAGTACAGTGAGGTAGAGAAAACCTAGATTTAAATTGGTTCAGGGTAAGAAAGAGTGAGGGCACATGTCTTGGGACGGACGACCCTGTGATGCTGATACTATATTAACATTTCTGTTGAATAGAAATAAAGAACATTAAAGCATTTCCATCATTTTTTCTTAATTTCTATCATTAGAATTCTTTATATAGCATTAGAAATTTTTTTTTTTTGGATAGGAGTCCCCATTGTTCATTACTGTTTGTTGTGCTCATACCAATTTGACATAAGTACATCTTTTACAAAATCAATAATGACATTTTAATTAGCACTATTTTTTTCCAATAAACCAATTCAATATAAAAGATTCTCTAGACGCTCAATATACACGGTATTTCTGAAATAAGTAGCAACCTTGCAAGAGGTGATAGGGAACTGTAAAATAAGAAAATTAAGTGAATTTTTACAGGTCCGAAAGTTCACCGTTTAATAATAAACTTAATTGAAAGTACAGGCAAATCTAATTCCGGCCCTGGAGAGAAGTGAGACAATACAACGCTGTATTCAATAACCTGGTAATTAGCAGCATCACTGTTGTATTTTGTATGTATTAGATTAAAAGTGATTCAAGATGTTTACATTAAAGCTAACAGCAGTTAGTAGTTATTTGTACTTTTAATGTTGAGACCTTGATGTATTTAATCAATCGATGGTAGGCCTTGTTAATATAATGATCCAATTGTACAGTAATCACAAGGTGCACCCTACATTTGCAGCTAGTGAGCTTTGACTCCCGAACTATAAATGTTGTTATTAATTCATTTATACCGTCGCGTCGTAAGCATCTAAACATTATGTGCAGTAGTAGTTTTGTTGCTGTTTACTTTAGCCGATTGACAAGCGATATTGTTTACGTTCTCCGTCGTTGAAGCTTCTGAATTCTTGGTGCATGGCTACAGACCTACGTTGCCAATTACGCCCAGGACCGGCTTCGGATTGTAACTTGCGGTTTTTATACTTTTTTGACGTGACAACGTCTTATAATTCGATAGAGCCGGCTGCACGCACGAAAAAACATGACTCATGCGGCGTTATCTCGCTCTGAGGCGTTCCATTTAAGGCTTGGAGTGCAAGCGAGAGCGCGGAACGAGCGACAAAGAGGCACAATCGGCCTCCGCGTTCGGCAGCGTTCGACATCTGTCTCTCTCCTACTTGAGTGAGCGATGCGTCCGCGTGGACAGCTGCTATACAATAATACATTTCCATTTGCCTCCTTCTCTATATCCATACAAAATATCTATCAAACATATAAAATTAAAATTTTCTTTTGAAAAAATGAAACCATTCCATCAGTATTTTCTTATGACGTTGTCACGTTCAACTATCGTCAGTAAACCGACTTTACAGACAACCGATTTTTTTGTCTCTTAATAACGCTGCTGTACTGACCATGTGATTCTCTATTGCATCTAATTGATACCTTCCAAAGATTACTACTGATTTAAAAAAAAAACCTTGTATAACGTATACCTATTTAAAAAGATCGTAATTCTATTCGCCGAAATTTTTATTAAAAACTGCAGCGACCCGAATTTTTCTTCCATCAGAGAAAATCCTTTATACGAATTTTATTAAAACGGTTGGGATACAATATTAGTTCTTACTATAATGTAGGATTACGTATAGGTACTGGAAGTGCTTTTTGAACTGCAAGTAGGTTGATATTGAACTTCGAGGGACGTTCCGGGAAAATATCGTCGACCGGGACACGACTCTGGAACGACACTTAAACTTTCTATACGGTAAAGAGGACTTTTAGTAAAGTTCCTCTGTGCGAGAGACCGAGAGAGGAGGATGCAGACAAACACAAAGAAGAACGATGCCGTTTCGTTCCGTTCCGTTCCGTCGTTGCCTCGCTACAACAACAATGGCCAAAGTTCGTGTCGGATGAGAAAGCGCTACATAAATCATCCTTCTTGAAGGCACGAACGCTATTAACGGCGCGCGAGCCTCCTTTTGATTAGCGCCACGAGTCGCCATTAAACAGACCCGATTGCGTTGCAGACCTTCGAATGTGTTTCCTGTACGTTAGCTAATTCGGTCCCGAATGGATTAAACGACGTCATTCCGTTCGATTTTTGCACACTAAAGCGAACAAAAAAAAAAGGAAGATGAAATTTATTGCAGACATCGTTACGCCCACGCTACTCATTTTGTACGGGGTAATTGTTAATTGAATGAAAAACAAGAGACTTCTGGGACGGTTAAGCAGTGGCGGAGTAGCATGGGTTAGCACCCAGTGCGATTTTCTGCTGAGCAACTTGTGCGTACATTTAGTAAAGTTAATCGATGATTTGTACTTCGATAATATCAACCTCTTCCAAATATAACAGCGGTTCATAGAAAATTATTTGTTTGTGTTTGGCCACGTTAGAGCTGAATTTCTCACTGTCATATGTAGGGTTGCCACCTTTTCAGGCTCTACATAAAGTATTTCTCGACTAAAAGGTTAAAAAAAAAGTACTCAGCATAAAAATAAAGTATTTTATTTTTTGTTTTTAAACATATTTTTTGTTACACCTGGCAGTCAGTAACAAATTGCTGTCGCTCTTAAATACATTAATAGCCTCTAAACATGGCAAACAAAGATTTAAGTAAACTAAAAGTTCATTTTTAATTAGTTTTAATGAAGCTTTATTCCTGTCGTCCCACCACTTTGCGTTCATAACAGACAACACTCTTTCTGTAAATGCTGAAGTGGCCGGAACGGACAGCAAAAGTGACACTACCTTGAACAGATTTGGGAAATCAGGTTGTTCCGTAAATATGGCTTGTCGTTTTTCTGTACAATATTATTGATATAAAAGTAATCGCAAACAAAAATACGATGTTCACTTAAGGCCTTAAATAAAGTATTTTTGCGTACTTTATGTGTCTTGTAAAGTATAACGTACGCACAGTCGAAGTAGAGTGAAATACTTTATAATAAAGTACGGGTGGCAACCCTAGTCATATGGAACCATGAACCCTCAAATGTCATGTTACACAGCGCGTGGAGCGGCAATCAACGCGCGGCATGTGTCGATGCTTGACCCTTTACGCGTGGCAGAGATTGCCAATCCACGCTCGGTGTAACGGGGATCGGCGTGGATAAGAACATGAAGAAATGTCCTCACGCTTTCTTTCTCGATAACTGTCGCTTGCAATTATGAAATCTAGTTACATAAAGTCAAATAGCGGAGCGTGGATTGGTAATCTTTGCTCCGAGTAATGGATTGAGTACAGACATATACTCCGTGAGTGGATTAACGTTCCACGCGCTGTCTAAAGGCCATGTCATACGGCGCGTGGGGCGTGGATCGGCATCGCATTAGACTTACAACAATTCCGTTTACAATGAATCTCAGAAACTCAAAAGGTAGTCCATTGGACCATCGCTTAGAGAGAAAAAATCTCCACAAAATTCATCATACAGTTTTGGCAGATTAAGAAGAATTCCGACCTTCTTTGTAAAATCTATTAAGACATTTTAACATTGCTTCCAGTATCTCTTCTGACAATGTTAAATATAATTATAACACATTATGATACAAAAGCCTTCTTTAGACTGAATTAAATATAAAATAAATTCAATGACATCGGAAAATTTATACTCCTAATTTTATGAATCTACCTACTTAAACCGATTCTGATTTCGATCACAACTTTTTTAATCTGCTGGCTGAAATAAATTGGCATCGAACATTTTACTGCTTCAATTATTCGCTCTTTTCTTGAATAATCTCGGCACGTTCCTCTCGGCATTTTTCGTTTCAACAACGCGCAAACAATCGCATTCAAACTTTTCGATGAATTTCTAATTTTATGCAACGCAGAACTT